CAATTTTTCATAATGTTTGTGCTTTTATATTACGGAGAAATGAAGTTTGAAATTTGCAAGAGATTTGACCGCTAAAATCATTCCGGGTGAAACTTTACACCCCTAGTTGCCAGTCACGGTCAAATCCCTTATAAAATTTTCAATTTTCAAATCAATATCGTGAGCAATTCTATAATGAAAACTTCCAACTAGACTGAAATCCTTACTCGCAATCCGAATCTGAGGTCACAAATTTTTCAAAAAAGAATTCGTTGAAGCCGTAAGTTGAATGATTGTAATTAGAGCGTGATGCCTTGCATAATTTGCTTACTGGTATCAAATGGTCCTCATTTTGCTTCTCAATCTGAGACACCTCTTCTGAAGTCATTAGGCCCAAACGAATTTGCTTGACCACGTCTTTTGCTACCGTATTCACAGGCTGTTCCAAAACAAGCTGCAACAAAAGCGAACAAGAAATCATAATCTTTGTGTCATACTCATTTTATTTTACAAGATATACAGAAAACCTGAAAGCCTTAAGTAAATATGGGTGGTTTACGAGCTCCCTAATTCATCCTTAGAAAAGAATATTTTGACCTTGGAAATACGGTAAAAATAGCATGATGCTAAACATTACTGCAATTGCCCTATAGCATTTAAAATATTTTGTTTGACGCATTCATTTTGATAGATTGTATTCAGCCAGGAGCCCTCTAGTCTGTGACGAGTTTGGAGATTGAAAAACTTGGCTTTAGACTAGCTCTAAGCGTTTAAGAATACAAATTAAGGTCTCCTTTATCTTCGCAGTTTGCAATTGCTTTTTACTACCTTAAAAAAACTCCTGACATTCCCCTAGAAAAACACAAGAAACATTGTTATTTAAAACAGCCCCCCCCCCTCTACACGCCCAATACGTTGAATACCTGATTAGAGTCAGACACCCTAGAATGACATTCCATCTCTCAATTTTCTACTTCTAAAACACTTGCTTACAAGATAGTCATACTTACTGAATTGACAGTTGCCCATCCCCGCACAGCTTCATAAATATCAAACTCGTCGATACGTAGATTGTTGCTTTTCAAAACAAATTCTAGGGCTGCTGCAGACATTTCTCTGAGTGAGACAGAATTGAAAATATCAACTGTGTGCTCATCAAAGTACACCATTAACTTGTCACTTAAACTTGACAGTTCGAATGTGACTGCAACCTAAGAGAAAATTAAAGATACCCGTATATTCATTTTTTAATCCCTGGTTACACTACAAAAAATCTACCTAGCTTCAACCCGGGTTGATTAGCCAAGGCAAAAGCCAACAGACTATATCAATCAAAGGAGCAGTGAAGACGTGAAAGAGGCAGGTGCTTGGGTTGTTTCAAGGGCTTGTGCTTACAGTGAAACGCCTGCATGACAGAAAACAAACCTTTGTTCAACTATGTATCGCGTTTATACTAAACTTTTATGTAAACAGTATTCAACCCACACAAGTAGGCAGTTATCACAACCCGGGCTCAAAAAAGTGGGCTGCGTTTATACAACAAATGTTTTACCTAGGTTCATCCAACCCAGCTTGAAAATGGGTTTACTGGTATAGTGTAACAGGGCTTTTGTTGAGGTGCACAATCAACTCTTACAAGCAACAAACTTTTTCATGCAAACCAGCAGCATTGATGTCTCTTATAACGATCATTTTTTAAATCGAAAAGCGTACAAACAATGGACACGCCTAAACCACACCTAAACTCAGAATGGCTAATAACTACTCTTGGACATTCATATCACCAAGTACTCGAGCAGCGAAAAATATTGCTATAAACTAACAGACATTGCTTATACAAAACTAGAGAACATACGAGACATTAAGAGAAAAATATGAAACTAGGGTCACGATCGCTTTAACACAAATATAAAAGAATGTGTCTATTTGAAAAATTGTTGATCTTCTGCGATAAGGCTTTTAAAAAAGAAACCAGCTAAAGGCGGATCCAGAGCCAATTTGAAGGGGCGCCAGACTTGCTTTAACTGGGTGGGAGAGGGGCAACTGTCCCCAGAACTAAAGAATTCAAGCTAGTAGGTGTAACAGAATAGATGTCAAGAGTTGCCCCCCCCCCCTCCTCCCCCCCTCAAATCGGTCAGTGAGCTAAAAGAACTAAAGCTAGTGATGTAACAAAATAGATGTCAAGAGCATATGATTAAAACTTACATCAAAGTATTCACACACTGTTTCAATGCTGGCGTTCCGTAGCAAAAATTCCTCGCAGACCTTCAAAAATTACAAACAAAGATACAGTTTTTACACAAACTTGCTAACGTTTCACCGTAAGCTTCTTAAGAATCAAGAAGAAATTTTTTTTAGAAAGCCTACAGCAAAAGGTCAACAAGTTGTATTTTACAGAGCATCTATCAAATTTTTGAAAACTTTAAAAGAGCTATTGAATATATAGATAGTTATAAATATAGTTTGGAGTTGAAGAAAATAAAACTACATGTTTAATCTCTACAAGCCTGTTTCGTGAATAAACCACTCTTCAAGATATCACGCTTTACGTGCAAACGTATTGAGCACTGTACTACGGAAGTATCAAAAGACAAACTTCGATATCTATTTATATACATATAAAGTAAAATCCTAATGGAAAGAAGAGAGTGATAATTGCCCTTAATTTCCCACGATACTCATTTGTCACAGCATACCTTAACTTGCTACATTGAAAATTAAATAGCTTCTTCATTTAGCACCTTTATATATTGATATTTATAAAGCACAACTACATTGTTCTTAGCACATTTCTACAGTTAAGAAACTTTTGGAGCAAATGTCGTCAAAAGAGAAAGTAATATTCTACATGAAAAACTTTCTTAAAGAGAAAACCTATCGTTAAGCGAAAAACAGTAATTTACAGAGTCAAAATTGATCTGAACATAACGATATGCATCTCTGCAGAAACAAGCAAAATGAAAGAACCAGCCTCAACGAGCTTACCTTGACGAGCTTATCGAGTCCCTTCTCGTTAGCAGCAGTCAAAATGTCAAACACCTAGAGGTATATCATAATTCTAAGCATATATACGATAAACAAAATACATTGTTTTTTACTGACACCTACAGAACATTTTTTCGCAATACAATAAAATTCCAACACAAGCAGCTCATTATAATTAATTTTTCCAGATGAACCCCTGGAAACCTAGGACTCGTCTTTCATAATTAACCATGAATGAAGTGAAACAACAGCAACATGCTTAATAGCCCATGGTATCGTACCTGTAGTATGGTAGATTAAATAGAAAGTAAAGTAGCAGTAGAATATAGTTGGTATCGTAATATTTTATCTTAATATAAAAAACAAAAACAAAAATAGCAAGATTGAACTGAATTTAGAAGAAACATAAGGCACAAGACAAATATCATTGCCAATATTCTGAAAACATAAAATTGAACTTTTGGTAGCCACCTAGCGAACTGCATGTAACAACTTAACAAAAAACTTATAACTAAAACACATTCAATATAAAGAAATTTGCAAGTATTCAGGGGCGACTAGCACCAGAAATAAACTGTTATCAGTCAACCCAAACAGCAGCAGAAATAACAGAGGGCTCCGCCCCCTCCCCTAATAGCGTTTTTGTTGATGAATGCGGGCTTTCCAATCCCGATATGTTGAGTCTGTTTTCTTATCCGAAAAGGAAAGTAATGTAGACTTGGGACATAGGTTTAGTAATGGGTTTGATAGCCACAAAAATTAATTCAAAACTAAAATCCCCAATCCATTTCAGGTTGATCTCAAGAATGGCCTGTCGATCACCGGCACGGTCATGTCGTGGTTCTGCGACCGAGGGGGCTATAACTCAGTAAGCCATCCCTGCACGTATTTTAAACACAAAGATTTTCATTACATTATTTTTTCTTGCAATTCTTTTTAAATTTCAATTCTTTTATCATAAATGATTTTACTACTTTAATTTTTATACATATAGTTTTATTTAGTGAGCTCTTATTCCTAAACAGGACCCTTATTCATAACACGACATCCAAGCATAAAATGTTCTCCTTTTTAAATATTAATATAATTCTATTAGAACAACAGACGTTATTGATTTATAATGGGAGTAGCAATGGGACTAGCAACTTTTGGTTTGGGCGGGAAAGCATTTGTTTTCAAAGATCAAAAAAGATTTCCACTTTTGTTTGTAGTCATAAGCAATTTAGTGCGTTATTCATTTCAATTATTGCTAAAATTTCAATTTGTATTGTTAGACTGCTTAAAAATAATTAAAAAGAAGATAAATCAATGTACCTACATTTTCTTTGTTTAACTGACTGCAACAGTTGGTGTAGATGAACTCCAAGACAGCATGGAAATGATTTGCCTGAATATAGTCGATTACAAATGATTCCGCAGCTGGGAACTCCTCAAATGTCTCAGCAAAGGATTTGCACCTGCAAATTAAATGTAGAAGGAAAACATTTAGAGATCATAAAATAAAAAATGATTTATGTATAAGATGAAAAGAAATAGAAACTAAACAAGCATTACAGAAAAGAAATTGAAATCAAAATGAGCAGTTGAAGGGCCAATAAGAAGAAAGAACTTTCAATATTCTGTGATAAAAAAATTAAAGCTAGTAGGCATAAGTGAGTGGCAGTATAAACACAATTTATTCAAGGAAAACAGATCAGAGAAATTATGGTATTCTTAATAATGAGAACTGTTGAAATATATTCAATGCTGGATAGTTTACAGGCTAGGAGCAGGGTCCGCAGAAGCAGAGGAGAATGCATACAGAAAAAAACCAATCCCTCCGCCAACAATGCCCAAAACAAAACATTTGTATAGTTCTTAGCTTTTACTATGTATATGGAAAGGCACTCTCGCCCTGAGCTCCATATCCTAATGAATCAACGCAGCAACCAGCTAAAAACGACGTTTTCTACGCACCGATAAATCCAGATCCAAGAAAATCTGGCTCTTTCGTATTATCAAGACCCACCTGGTGGCTAAAATACACTTGTGACCATACATTACAGTACCTTCCTCTCCAACCAAAAATTTGACGTCACTGGGGGTAAGAATTAATAAATGTTGTCAGAAAAAATCAGAAAAAGAATAAAAATCATTTTAACAATGTAAACTGCTTGGTCAGTTTGATGGATGATGATGTTAGCTGCGTGCAATTCGGTTTATGCCAAAGTTCCTGTATTTATCAGGCAACAACTCGTTGTACCCAGAGGACGTTTTGCAAAACATGGCTACAATTATGCAAACATTTTTTATCCTTCTAGCCTTTAAGACTTCAAACTACATTAAAACAATACCTGCCATGGCTACCAGATCCTCATGGACCCGGGGATAAACTATTGTAGACGGTTGCGGTGGCAAAGAATGAGTGTCTTTCTGTGTCAAGTTTCGAAGTAAATAATGGAGACTCTGGCACCCAGGGTAAATAACAACCTGCCTTTATTTCAAACTAAAATCAACGAGCTTGATCTCCCTTCCCCTCGAGGGGTAAACTAAGCCTAATTTTTGAGGAGGACATGCCATTTTGGTTAAAAATTTGGACCCATTATTCCGCAAATGTCTGAAAAATGTGACCCATAATTCCACAAACATGCTGAAAACTTTACCCATAATTCCGCAAAGCAAAAAAATTTCAAAGCACATAAAATTATGGAACAAATTTTGCATTTCCTTTGCCCCAAAATCTCAATATTACACAGATTTCATAGTTTTACTTCCAACTAGTCATTCATTTTGTTAATGCTAAATATCCCTTCTAATAATTTTGCAATATTTTCCCAAAATTGTACCCATAATTCTGCATGTTTCTTCAAATGGTACCCATAGTTTCGTACATATTTCAAAAACTGATGCCGATAATTCTGCACTTTTCAGAAAAAAGGTACCCCTAAATAATGGCACGTCCCCTTACCTTCAAACGTGTTAAGGTACCCCCCAAGCCCCTCCCCCTCTTCGAAATCTCCATCTTCTTTTCCCTCGTTAGAGCTTTGCTGTGGGTCTAGGGCCTATGCCTTACATCGCAGATTAAAAAAAGGATTGGCTTACCTGTACTTTTCATTATTAAGCAGCTCGGCCATGTCTTCATAAAACTCAGAAGCCGAGCCTTTGCTTTTCAGCTTTTGAATATCCCCCCCTTTAGGGACGAAGGCAGCCATTGCTATTCTCTAGTATGGTGACGTGATTATCAACAGGATATCAACACAGTTCAAGCTGCACACCAAATGGTTTGACCGGCAAACTTCCCTGCAGGAAAGAGAGAGAATGCGCGATATAGCATCCTTGTTGGATCAGAGATAACGGGACTTACGTAGGTTCTAAATGCGTTTCCTTTCTACCTTACATTGAATCCAGCCCACACAGGGGCTACCACCAGTAGGGTTGAGCCAAAAAATGTAAAGGGGGCATAGAGCTTTCTCTATATTGTATACAAAATAAACGTTTCAGTTGTTTTCGTTTCCATGGCTTCTCAATATCAATTTCTTTAAGTCTCCATGTTTTCTAGGGATAAATCCTTTTCCAACGTCTATCTGTTACTTGAGTAGAAAAATCTTGAAAATGAAGAGTTTAAAATAGTAATATTTGCCAGCATTTTTGAGTTTTCAGTTATCAAAAGGCCTATCGAAGTCACACATGAATGCAAATGTCAAAAGGCAATATCGGTTCAATCAAAGATTTGATCCTGGCAGAATTTAGCCATGATACTTTAGAATTACCCAGAATACAGAGGAGGGAGCGCAGCCCCGCTGAACCCCCCTCTCCAACAGCCCTGGCTACAACACAGTTTGGAAAGTAAAGGGGCCAAGGACAAATTAAAACCCCATGATAAAAGATTTTTTAAAAAACTCCTCATAGTTTTTGGAGGCCCTGTTACCACAAGTCATTCGAGCAAAAACTCGGTAATTGAAGTCTTGTGTGGATTTACATGATTAGCTCAAAGTTTTAGAAAGCACAATTATTTCGGGACAAATACTCCTGTCTAAAAAATGTCAGTCAAAAACATCAGCGCTTAATAAGGGCAAATTTTAAAATAATGCCACATTATATACAGCATACACACATTTCTTTCATTTATTCGTTAGCAGGCTTGTCTACCAACAAATCTTGATCCGTAGTGATATTTATGCTAATCGTTAAAAGCTAAAATGGATTCGGAGGAGGGTAAAAATAAACACACCAGTGAAGAAAAGGTCACTCTCAGTTTGCCACATGAAATGAAGCGAAACTCCTTTTATCTCTAACAAGTTTTTTCGACAACTTTGCAACGCTCAAGAATTGGGAAACAGATACGGGCAAAGGGGTAGTGGAGATCATTTCGTCAAATACTGATGGATAAAAAAAGCACTGTCTATCTTTTTCGATAAATTTGGAAAGGCTCTGAAAGGTGAAGCTGACTGTGAGACGAGTGAATTTGGGAGCAACGGGAAATTTTCTCGAAATTTCTTAGTAGCAGGAGGGGAATCTTAGGCTACCCACACAAGACCGTAGTCAGGGGAGTTTTGGCCACCTAGGGGTGCTTCGTCGGCGATTTATCAAACCTATCCGCAAATAAAGGATGCAAATGGGACCTGGATACCCCGTGGACCACTAACGATAGTGGTGTCCCTGTACAAATGTTGTGACAACCAGGCCAGGCCCTTTATGAACATACATTTTGTTGAAGAAACTCAATTTCTAATAAGAATACAGTTAATAAATAAAAAAGGGTTAGGGTCGTATAAATGCTACGCAACTTGAGGCCTCTAAGGAGGAGCAGAAAGCAACTGCACAATGATATATAACACAGGAAATTTGTTATTCAATTTTTTGTCATATCAAATGTTTTGCATCATTTCAAATGTTTGATGAAAGTTGTTATTCATACTGTTATGTTTCATTGTATCTTGTATCCTTCTACCGTTAATGATACAGAAGGTTTGTTGATGTCCAATATGTCGAGAAATTCACTTATCAACATTTTCTAGCACTTGTGAAAGGAACGTTTCAACTTTGACTGGGAAGAGAACAGATTTGGTTAAGTGTCTTAATAAATACATGTCCTTCTGCGGATGGTACATGTCCTTCTGCGTGACAAGAAGTAAACAATTCATAAGCAACTTTGAAGGCTGAAGCCAAAACAATTTAAGTAATTTTGAGGGCTGGTACCGAATCAAGTTGCTAAACAAAATATTTTCTGTTTGAGCCAGGTGGAAAATTTCATTTTCATTTTGAATTCTTTTTTCACGGTATCCTATCATTCAAAGCAGATTGCTTTCAGCGGGCCTTGAAAAAATCTTACCAATTAATAAAATACTAATGAAAGCAAAACGCATCCTAAATTAAGTAAAAATGCTCTCTGAAAACGCCTTGCTGAATTTTGCAGGAAGAACAAATTTCTGTTGCACAAACCAGCTCTAAGTTAAAGGACAAACAAGGTGCCGACAATTAGATATTCAACAGAACAAGCACTGCGCAGGAGACATCACACCAGCAAACGCCAACAAAAGTGCTACAGTATCCCAAAGGGATGCAACTAACCAATTAGAAAACAACTGAAATTGTTTTCAAACTTGCTAAATCAATAGAAAATACAATAATACGGGCTTTTTTTGTTATTAAAAGGCTATCGAAAGTGCGGATAATCCTCCATGGACAAATTAAAGAAACAAATTCATTGTGGGATTACGATTGACATTGAATCCGGGGGTGAAACGCGAAGGCCATAATTTTTCATTTCGTTTGTTTTGTTTACCTGGTATTTAATTTGGGCAGATTTTTAATAAGTAGCATTACAGAGATATAAGGCTCAATCAAGAAGGAATCTGAGGAGGAAACCACAAAATGTGATAAATTTATTAATGAAAATTACAACATTATCCACTCAATAGATTTTATCTGATAGGCAACAATTCTACGGGGCACGTTACTGCTGAATTAGAGAAAGGATAGGAGAAACAGGTAAATCACCCATTCCTGCAGGTCTTACGTTCTGAATCGAGATTGGGACTGCAATGTCTGTGCATTGAACTTTCTTCTATTCAATTTACGGAGCAAAACCTGCTTAACAAGGTCAATGACATAAGAGGTATCAACTTAGATTGGGAGAGTTGAGGAATTAGCTCAAAAAAGGAAAGCTGGCGGCAAAAACTGCCCGGTATCACAAACGTTATCTGCACTCCTGACTACGCCCTTATTCTGGATTTCCACTTGTTCTTCTCGATTAAAGAACTGTAGTATGATTCTTTCAAACAACGCAGCAAAAACTTCGCAGAAGTAGATGGCAGTCCTGATCTGCCACCACAAAACTGATAGCATAGCTAGTACCAATGCAAAATACTGCACCGTGGCCAGATCGTGGCTCCTTCAAACCCATATATCAAGCCTGTCCACTTTCCCAGCCATTTTTTATTTGTACGAGCAAATTCGCCAGAGGAAATGCAGCCTTTGTGTGTTTAGATACAATTAAGCTTAAAAAATAGCCTATAGTAGATGCTATTTTATGTCTAGAAATTTTAAAGGGGGCAGATTTAAAGCGCTAGATAAGCAGTTCAATCAGCAGAATTATGAACATGACAACTATGTTTTGATGATGATTGCACTGACAAAATATTAACAATGCTGTTAAGTTCAAGGACTGTGCCAGAGATTAGCATGTTCTTGTTACAGTTTTTATCATTTGATTCCTTTAATGAGAATTGGCCTAACACAAGCAAATTTTCTCAAAGTATTCTAAGAAAGACGTTACACACCAGTAACTCGTTACACACCAGACGTTAATAAGAATCTTTCTAGATCATATTGATATTGCCATATTTCACACTTTCCCAATTCTGCATTTTCAATATTCGGCACTTTCCATATTCTGCAGTTGCAATACTCTCCGAACACGCTTGTAGTTGTAAAGTTCAAAGCAACCGTATTCAAGTCAATAAAATTCTTATTGAGACTGAGAAAGATTTGTCTTTTTTAACTCTCCCTTTCTTTTTAAAGTGAATCCCCTCGCCCTCTGAAAATTTGAATCTGGACAAATCAGGCAAACATCTGCAGTTAAAATAGTGCAGCTTGTCCTTCTTTTCGAACACCATCAATGTTATCCAAAGAGAAAGCACGATTGATGGCAAGTAATGATAAACATTATACCTTACATTGTTTCATAAACCAATAAAAGCCTCTAAAATCATAAAATGCTTTTGATTGCTCCTTGCTTGATTCGTAAGAGCCTCTCAAAGTAGTCTATCGCCACGGTTGCAGTCTCCAAACTTGGGGAACTTCTCGAAATCACTGAACAAACAAGAACAGAACTTTGAACAAGCGACACATTTCAAGGGAGGGATTTTAGAGGCAAGGGTGGCGGGGGGCGTTGTCAGATAAAGATTGGATTGTTGTGCATCACCCTTCACCCTATTTTTATAACTATACATATTCAGCTGACGAGAAGATAAGAAGATAAATAAAGCAAAATCTGAGCGTCATTTTATTGCTACGGGCTATACCAAAAATAAATTTTTACCGAATCAAAGCAAAATATTGGGGATGCCACACACCCAGACTCAGGATGCCACACCCCCAGACTCATGGATAAGCCAGTCCGTGCACACCTCTGTGTGGTTCTGAAATGGCGAGCTAGAGTAAGCAGCACAATCCGTTAAATAGCAACCAATACAGAAATTGAGATTCAAAAACGTAGAGTAAAAACAGATGTGATGGTCTGAACAGAAAAAGAAATTCTTTTAATAACCTGAGGAGTTCTGTCAAACCGAGAAACAACAAAGGAACAGAATGGTTTGCCTCTTTTCTTTTGATCGAAAAGTATGTTTTTCATTCGATCATTAATATTTTATGAGATCTATATCCCTAAGCATGGGCTGGAATTTTTTGTGTTGTTCTCCCTGAAATGTAAAAATAGAACTCAATAAACAAACATTTGATAACACGTATAGTTGAAATTTAAAGAAAGTCGTACATGTAAACATGCTTTGTACTTTTGATTGTATTTAAGCATACAATGTGTTTAAAATGAACAAGAATTGGCAAGTAATGGCAAGCATAAAACCAAAGGCAGACCCCCGGTGTAAACGGCTGACTGAGAGTGGTTTTGTCGTACAAATTTTACAACAGCCTTTGATCCGATGTGGTGTGTGTGCGGTCGCAGTATACTTTCGTAGCTTAACATTATTGAAAGCGTGTGCTAAGGTGTTATTTACAGGCTTTATTTGGTGAAATTTTATATCTTTGAGCGAAGGAACAGTCAACAATTGCATTCATTACGAAAATCTGAATTACGAATTCAGAAATTGGAAGAAACGACCGGTATCTAAGAAGCAAATTACCAATGGATTACTTATGGGGTCCCAAAGAGGTGTACTGGTTTGTCCTGAAGAGCACCAAGGATAGATTCTGAATGAGCGAAACGCCCTTGGATTGTAACCGCGCAAAGACAGCCGTGATAATGAATAAGTTTATTGCCATTAACTACTATGTACATAGGAAAACAAAAGTTGAAAAGGGAGATTTACTCAGCAATGAAGCAAAGTAAAGACAGCAAACTACAACAGAGGAAGCTGCCAAAACTGCCAACTTTTAAAAGCGAAGTAAAGGGGGATTTTGGAAACTTTAACCTGATTAAAAGACGACATACTCATAGTGATCTACTGTCGCTATCGAGCGGTAGCCAACGACGTGTTTGCGGCGTAACTTCCGAAATTATTGAGATAATCAGAGCAGCAGAAACTGAACAGTCGCACAAGCAGGTTAAGATGGACTCAGTCAGACGCCAGGCGAACTACACCGAAGAGTTCTCACAAGATAATATTGTGATAGTTGAAGGATCGTCTCAAAGAATTGCCGGAATACTTGATATATTTCAGGATGACCAAGGATTTTGGATTCGCAAGATCGAAATAACGAAAGTTCCTGGCCAAGGCCTAGGATTCTTCATAAAGCGAGGCAATGGATTCGATCGCAAAAACGGGGTTTTTATTTCACGAGTTTCGCTTGGTAGCATACTAGACGTGTACGGGCTATTGCATACGGGCGATGAAGTCTTAGAGGTAAATCGAGTCAATCTACGTGGATTTCCGCTGGAAGACGTTGCGTTAATGATGCAAATCCCAGATAAACTCTTACTCACGACAAAATCTCGCGTTCCATTAAATACAAGAGCGAAAACTTCTGCAAAAAACGGAAAGACCAAGACAAAGAATTCACAGAAAGAGCACAGACACGATAAGGTAATTAAGCAGCTAAGCTTCCCGGACGAAGACACAAATATGAACTCTTTTGGAATACAAAACAAGCATATTCTTAAGCCGCTGGCGGAATCTTTATTGAAACCTGCAAAATTTTTCACAATAAATGGTAGAATTGAAACAAGTATTCCAGACAGTGCCAGATCTCTGAAAAACTCAGACAAAAGTCCATCTTCGGATAAAAGAAACCAGCCGTCGAAGCAGAAGCAAGCAGAAATGGTATCTCCATTACAGTCTTCTGAGAGCCCTGACAGCGGAATAGAAGCAACCCCTAGTGTTGATGGTCTTAGAAGCTTGCCTTATATTCCTTCAAAATCAGCGAAAAGTCCAAGAAAGTTGCCAACACCACCGCCTGTTTCAGAGCGAAAAGTCTCGAATGAAGTCTTCGACAACTTATTCGAATCGAACGGATTTCCAAACAGCCCAACGTCGTCGAACCAGGGACAAGCAGGCTTCAAACGGGCTGAACTTTACAGGGTACAAAGCAATGATAATGGTGATGGGGTTTCAACTTCAGAACCCATGAAGCCAGCACTAGTGCTTGAGACAGAAAAGGAAGCTGCTCAGTCAAGGGCCTTGCAGAGCTCTGACCCGCGCTCGGTGAAAGATCCTCGAAGGACACTGTCTGTAAGTGAGGCGCCTAAGATTTCAAACAAAATGGGATTCTTACGAGCATTTTCCACATCTTCAAGCCAAAAGACACCAAAGGGACAAAGGAAAGAGACAAAAACTGAGCCAGAACGCACTTATGAACCGTATCTAAGTGACGATTTAAACTCAGAAATGCAGTTCACGAGAGCATTTTCAGGCATGTTGTCAGTCCATATCGACAGAGTTACGAGAATCCGATCAAAGTCATCCAAAAGTCAATTCTATTGTACTATCGAAATCGACGATGAATTCAAAGCTTCGACGAGTAAAACAAGCGACTACTCGAATCAAACAGTTTGTTTCGACGAACAATTCGACATCGAAATGAGCCACGCAAGCGAGCTTACGATGTACGTTTTCGAAATTGGCGCTGACAAGCACCACAGCCTATGCGCGAATGGCGTTGTTTTTCTTGAAAAAGTGCTAAGCACTTCAGGCTCCCGATCAATTGCTTTGACATTAGAAGGCTCTGGGGTGGTAAACATATCATTGGACTTTACAGAAGCGGTGAAATATCTTAAGCGTACGCCTTCAAGTCGCAAAAGGGGCGTTTTTGGCTTTAACATTGTATCGACGCTTGACGAAGAGCGTAACACAATACCTAAAATTGTTCGAAAGTGCGTGGATGAGATTGAGAAACGGGGGATGCACATCGTTGGGATCTACCGAGTAAGTGGGAATGCCAAAAAGAAAAGGCTTTTAAAAGCTGAATTTGACGCGGATAGTGGAGCCGTTGATGTTTCTGCGGATAGCGGGATTGACTGTAATGTTCTTTCAGGCATTATCAAAGACTATTTGCGCGAGTTACCGGAGCCTCTGATTCCCGAGCATGTCATGCAGTTAGTCACTAACGCTAAGATGGCAGCTTTGTCACCAGATATGAGCAAGAGACAGAACATCTTGGGCGACGTAATTAGAAAGCTACCCTATGGAAGCAGGGCCACGTTGATATACATAATGGATCACTTGATAAGGGTACAAGAGCAGAAAGACATAAACAAGATGGACATTACTAATCTTTCTGTTTGCTTTGGACCTGTCCTAATGTGTCCTGCGTCGACACAAGCTGTACCGGATTTCAAGAAAATAAACGACGCGCTTGAATACTTGCTTAAAATTTGGCCTAAAAATCACGAGCGTGGGGTTGAGATTGAAATTACTAACATGTAACTAAAATGAAATATACTCGAGAAAAAATTGAGAGAAAATTCGATTGTGGGTAGTAGAAGTGGGACCATTATCACAAATATTAAATTGTAAAACAAAAAGGTTTTATAAACAAAGTTTTATATATATTCATTATAATTTAAAGTTATAGAAGGTATAAACAATATAGCTAGTTTAGTAGGGAAAATTTTCTTACAACTGGTAAAGTGTTTAGGTTTTGTATCTATTTGCTTAGTAAAAAAGGACTTTCAGAAGTATGTACAATTTGAGTTGAAACTATCACTAGCTGATGACTACGAGTTTCATTCAATTCGCATTCGTTCAAATTACATAAAATAATAGCCAGTTTGTAACATAGTCAGTTATTATTAGAAAGATTGACAATTGGAGAAACTTACGAGGAAACGGTAATATAATACATTTATCAATACTACAGTCTTCAGCGTAGTATTTTCCCATATATCTAAAATGTGATGTTTAAGATGTTGAATGTAAGCAACGAGCTAACTGATTACATCTCTGCGAACGGGTTTCCACTCAGAAATTAGATTGAAGATAAATAAATAAACAGAGAGAATTTTTCCAATGTCTTGTTAGCTACCCATCTACCAAACTCAGGCTTTAAAAGTGCTACGTCTTTTCGAGTTTATAGTATAAAAGATAATTTTGAAAAAGGCTTAGTTCCCTTGCTATTTTACTAAATCTGACAAGTGAGCTAAGAATGTGTTGTAGTGGAACCTCAAGTGCTGATATTGACAATTGCTATGACAATGATCTTCTTTATCAAAAATTCTAGAAACATTTCAGCAAAATTCGTGAACCAAAAGCGGTAATATCAGTTACCTAAGCCCCTCCAAAGAAGTCTCAGTTTTTGAATGATACACTCATTTAATCTTGCTCTTTTTACAATTAGTGTGAAAAACCAGGTTAACGCTCATTCTGTACGTCCTCGCAATCCTGCGAAATTATCGAGTTTAACTCAAATATGCTCGATGTAGTCAAATTTCACAGGAATCCTTATACGTTGTGTTCTCTTCAATGCTTTGATTAATGCAAAGGGGCCTGAGCCAGATGGTTAATAACCGTTAAAGTTTTGTTAAATTGAGTTATAATCAGCTTTAAAATTGCATTCACGTATGAACTGCAGAATGCGATAATTTGAATTTCGAATGTAAATAGTTTGTTTTGTACTTGAGTTTATAAAGTGTTGATACAGGTTAGTATATTGTTGTTCAAAATAAATAAAGCTAGGCTTTCCAGCTTTATTGGCATTTATCAGAAGTTAATATATTGAAAGCAAATTACTCAATCGTGCTGTTCTTTAAAGCGTATGGATTCGTTTGATAGGCACCTTGGAGCGTTGCGAAAGTGGGGAGGGGGATGTTAAACCGAATAAAACAAGCCTGCATGTCCCATTTCTTAATTCTTTATGTTTTTGGCAAAACGTTTGGGGCCATAGCCCTCAACTCCCCCTGCTCCGCAGTGCCTGTCATATGATACTCTGCTACAGCAGAGACTCTTGAGATTTTTTGGGCAGCCTCTAAAGTTTCCATGCCAGAGGGCAGGAAAGCAGGGGCTGGAGGGGGGGTTAGCTTTAACCCAATAATTACCAAAATGTACTACCCAAAATGAACAATGAATCACAATTTTTTGGATCAAGAATGTTGAAATGAAATCTTCTCAAAGTATGTTCTTTGATATGGGTTTTTAACTTCTGAGACTTCTACACTGTCAATCAATCAACCAAATCATTACATTACAATCAATCAATCAATCAATCAGCTTTATTAATGTGTCAAAAATATTTGGCTAACAAGCTAATTGTCTACTGCAGTGACCACAAAGATCTAACTTTACTTTTACGTGGTCAACCAGGACTGATAAAAAAGGACCCATCAAATGCCCATTGTTCCTGTAAGTGACCTTCCATCCTCATCAACATGAACATTAGGCTTATCTTTCAGTTATTATAAATAAACACCCTGAAATGTACTGGACAAAACATTTTTTGAGAATGTTGCAAAATAAGTGCGTTTCCTAAAAGTTTCTTATGAAGAAGAAAGACAAGGCCGCACTCACTTTAGAAATTAGGAAAATATATTTACTCATATTTGCAAATAGGTATTTGTAGAAGTTTCTTCCTGTCATTGAAATATCTATGTTCAATGAAAATGTGCCAATTATAGTGAAATTAAATTGACTAAGAGAAGAGTTTTAATACTGAATAAAAAGGTTTATTTAGATATGTTAGTGTATTTCATCAGTGAACAGAAACACTTGTTCCTTTGGTGCAATTTGAGGAAGGGTTTATTGAATTTATCATGTTTTTAGAAAACATCTTCTGTTTAATTCTATGAAAGAATGTTGTGCTTCTTCTTCAAGGTTGTGTAACTGGTATAGGAAATGTTTTGACTCAAACAATTTGTGATAAAGATACAATGTTGAAAAATCATGCTGCTTTGTACTGAGGTTTAAAGGCCTCCATATTTTCTACATTTTCAATATGTATCTTGATCTCGATAAACTATAGCATGTTGTGTTGACTTCATGTTACACTAAGAATATATGAAAAATATGAAAACAAAATCTACTTTGATGCAAAACTGTAGATATTAGCAAACTAGATAGCACACCAAGTTTAGAAGGTGATAGATATTTGGTGAGTCCGATGTTAATTTTCAAATCAATCATGTTTCTCATCATGGTTCTCAAATAAGCATTAAAAAGAGAAGCTCTGATAGGACTTGAAATTTCAAGCTTCTGAGAGGCAAACACTAGCATTTGTATTAATAAATATCTGGCTGATAGAAAAGGAACATCTTGTTGCATGAAAATTGATGGTACTTTGGATGTGTATTAGATATGTTTTTATTTTGTCAGCAATGATTGGCTATCTGCAAAGTATGGCAGTTCCAGATGAGGTCTCACATGTCCATAATTATTTCTAGCATATTGACTATGTGCAAACCTTTTTTTATTATCCACATGATGTGCAAAAAAAGTTTTCATGTAAGGGCTATTTTATTATTATTTTATTTATTTTATTAGAGTAAATCCTGTGTGCAATTTCAAATTTTGGCCTGCAACACTACACTGACCTTGCGGTGCATTTGCCATACTTTGCATGCTGGGTGGTTGGTTTGCGTACAAGCAATGATGATTTTTCAGCCTTCATGCATGCAAATTTAATTTGTCTTCAATAATAATCAAAGGGAAATTAGCTGCAAGTGCAAGCCTTTATTTTTATAAAGCAGAGGACAACATTCTATTTTACAAAACAATGGAAAGTCACTGGGGAAAGTCAAGACAATTCCTCTATGATGGAGCAAATTGCATCTGGGCTTCAAGATCTAGAGAGCCTCAGAAAGTGATGCACTACATTTTAAGAATGGAATAAGCCAAAAAAAGTAAAAAAATATGCCAAAATACTCTAAATGTTTCAAAGTTTTGCACTGCAGCCTCTGAAACTGTTCAGGGGGGCCTGCCAACACCTGTAACAAGTTTATCTACTGCAATAAAAATATTCAGTTGATTGGTAATCATTTGCTCTGATAGAAACCTGAATTCAAATGGTGAATAGCGCCAAGACAAATTGATGAATTGTGGAGCTGGAAATTTTTCTTAGAATAAGCTCTGGCCGTTGGAACGAAATTCTTATTGGGGGCTGCCCATTGTATTCTTTCTGTTTTAAAGGAAATATATAATAAAGAAAATATACAACAGTTTGAAAATTATTGCGAGTGCAGCCCCCCAGCCCCCCAGCCCCATGACATTATTCACAGATTCGCTTGTAGAAATGAATTATTTGAGATGATTAGAAAGATTTTTAGACGCACTTTCTGTTACTTTTGTATATTTTAGTTAATTTTTTTAGTTTTTTCTTTAAATTTTTCATAAACTTTTGGGGCTCGGTCTCCTTGCATACCCTAGCCCCGGTCTGCAGAGTGTGGCACTTTTCGACGAGATCTCCGGTGTGCACAAGCCAAAATCCTGGTGTGCCGGTGTGCACCACCAAAAATGTCTGGTGTGCTTGTGTGCACCAACTATTTTTCTCTGTTGTAGTTAAAATTTGTGAATTTGCATTTCACCGTAAAAATATATGTAAAGTACACTGTTGAAGATAGCCCAAGTTTTTATTTGTATATTTGTCAAGTTAGATTCATGATATCTTAAATTGTTCATACACAACTGTGCTTGTTTTTATCAGCTGACATTATCTATGGGACCACACCAAGCCACACCAATCTTATTTGCCACACTCAAAAATACCCGGTGTGCAACAGGTTTTGCACAAAAATATATCCGGTGTGCACATGCCATAATCTGCAGACTGGCCCTAGCCTATGCATACATTTATCCAACTGCTTTGTGTCCTTCTGTAATGGGCTTTTCTGTAATTTTTTTCGATTTGTAATTAGAACTGCAATTGGATATCTATTTTCGGTCTTACCTATCATAAACATTCATTTTCTTTTAATATAATTAAAAAATTTCGCGTTTATACCTTTTACTGTCTGGCTAGCCAAAGCCCTTACACTGCTGATGTTTCCATAACTGCTGGTGATTTAAACATGAAGTACTTTGCAGGGCTAATGCTCCGAAATTTTACAGGTGCCTTCTAGGAAGGAGCATTTTGGCTCATACAGTTTACTTTTTGTCATTTGCATTCACGTGACAAATTTCTTTTCAAACCAAAGTTGGCCAATCGGCGGAAGTAGTTCCGTCTTTCATCGACATTAGGGTCTGCGCTGAATCTTATAGATCTTGGCATCTATGTCGTAAATATTGGCTTAAACACTCAAAATGGTGAAGCAAAAAAGCACCAAAGGTATGCTTAATATCAAATGTTTTAGCTATGTACATCATTCGAGGTAGCAGGATATGCGCCTTCTCGGAAACTTATTTGCATCCCTAGTTTGATGCTGGGCTGTTGTAAAATTTCCAACTGCTTTGGGCGAAATTGTTTTTCATTTGAACGGTTGTTGCTCTCAGTGTGTGATGGAACGTAGATGGAAATCAAATAAAAGTCGTGTTTCAACCAGTTTTTCTAATGGGACAAACTTGTCTTTTCATGTATGTGTCAGGGGTATAACAAAAAAACTATTTTAGCTCAGTGTACAAGCAGCATGTTGTCCACTGAGGACAAACACTTTCCAAGGAGTTAATTTTGAAGCCTGTCGTCTGAAATGAAATCGCATCAATACAACTACAGTTTAATTTGTTGAAGCTGGTGAAAGAAGAAGTTTCGACTTTCTGATAAAGTGAAACATGACGTACGGAAGTGAATATCATCAGCTCCGTATGTTTGATTTTGATATTTGTAGATAACAGCTTGTATAACCATCAACCGTTAATCTCATCCGCCCAGAACAATACGGCTTTGATCAGAAAGCTTTGATAGCGATTGCAAATATTAGAAATACACAAACTGCGATAACACTTTTCAGAATGAGCATTTATTCGCAATATGATGATTGATACTAGAATTTTCAATATGAGCCAATGTATTCATTTTTAAGGAGCCAGATGAAAGTTCAGAATTATCACTATGGTAATCGATAAAGTAGAAATAATTTGGAAAGTGTGGCAGCTGGAAATCTAAATTTTTTGGAAATTGTTGTTACACAGAATTAGCCTGGTCATAAATAAATTGAGGGAGCCTCGTCATACTATCAGAATAAATTAGAAGAAAAAAACACCCTGGCTTGTTCTGCTTCTGCAGAGACTTGCTTCCATGGGTCTTGTTGAGAGTTTGCAAACATAATTATCTATGCAGAAGGTAGCATTAAAGTTTTGGGGTTTATTCTCTTGTCATGAGTTGTCATATTAGTCAGTACTAAAAGTTTTTTTTAATTTGAAATATTTTTCAGGTAATAATGAAAAAGGGCTAGACCCTGTCTTCACCATGGACAAATTCATTGGAGAGGGAGTTATGTTCAAATGCAAGGTATATTAAAAAGAAGATGCACTTGATATAAAAAAATGTCGTTTCAAAAAACAGTGTCGTGAACTAAATTGTTTGTCTGATAAAGCCAGCTAGAAGAAGATTTCAAAGTGATACCAATAAGAACATGTTTGAACTTCACTATTCTTGAGATGTCTTGAAGATAAACCTCTTGGCCTTCTTCTACTTGACCTCCCTTTCTTGCATCAAGATTAACTGTTCTCAGGACAGTTGAGGAACTGTTCTGATAAGAGATATCCCCTGGTCACATAATCCTGGTTGTAATATCATTGATAGCATATATTCTGCAAAAGAGGCTTGTGTGGGCTTCAAAAATTTCTTAAAGATATTGTGAATGTTAATGTTTAAAAGTCTGTTATAAAGTTCTTGCTGTTTATAGCCAGAGACATATACATTTTGCTATGTAGAACAGGACTGGTTCTGGATTGCAATCCGGAGCTAAGATGGGATTTTCTGCTGATAGTATGATTGCTAAGAAAATAGTGACTTTGTCTATTGAAATCACCATAGCTTTGACCACTCATATGAAAACATGTTTAAACATCACTAGAATGTCATCTGATTGAATGAAATGCCAAAGCAAAACAAAACCTTTGATTGTCCAGTGTTTACTGAGTTATAATCTTCACAATTTAACCACCTCTCTCTAAGGCTTTTTTCTCAATTCTCTGCCACTATTTTCTAAAAATCTTTACATATTATGAATGAAATAATGATAAACAAATTGTGCTCTATATGCCATTTGTGTGCAAAATAATATAACAAAGATATATTTTTGTTATTTGATTTTATTCAATTCGAGGTTTTATTCATTCTTCATTCATTCATTCCTCATTCTTAATTTTTCATTCTAAAATGGTTTTTATGTTCTTCACAGCTTTTTGGATTTGTAAAAGTGCCAAGACCTCGAGGTGATGATATTTGTGCAGATGCTATTGCTGGGCTGAAGGTAAAAGAAAATTTGAGGCCTTTGTGCCCTTTAATAAATGCAGGTTTAGTAATCCATAATGTGAAAGAAGTGATAACTGAAATCTGTGTCAACAACTGGTTGCATTAGGTTTGAAAGTTTCAGGTGCTGCAATGGCTAATGCCAAAAAATTGATGAAACACAAATGCCACCATACTACTCATGCTAAAAATGACCAAGGGTTGCCTAGGCAGAAGGTTTGATCAAAAGTTTCAAATTCTTACATAAAGCTAATAATTAGCTATAACATAAAGCTAAAACTCTTATATATATCAAATATCATAAAATGACTACCAAAGAACAAAAAGTTATATCCAGTTGCCTATCTTAAAGCCTTAGAGGAAGAAAGGCATGTTGGGTTGATTTCACTTTTGGTTTTCATACAAAACTGAATATAAATTTTTAGATACCCCCAGTCATTATATTATATTTATACTCTGAGGATGTTGTTTGTAAAGTACGCAAGTTGGGCTTTTCATATTCAGGCTTTCATTCTATCTTCAAATAATTTTATGCTGCAGTAAAGAGTGTTGTGTTGTACATGTGGAAAGTTATGTTTATAATCTTTGTTTTATAGCAACAAGCCAAACAGCTCAACAAGGAAAGGAAAATCCACAAACAAAGGATATTTTTAAATATTTCTTTGAAGGGAATAAGAATAATTGACCAACAATCTAGAGTGAGTTAACTTTTTAAAAATGTAACTGAATTTTGAAAAAAATGTTTCCTTTGATATATATATATATCTAATTTGCAATACCTTTCTTTCCAATATGGGAGAAAATTTGTTCAATCAATCCAATGTTTCTGCTTATTCTATGATATGCTTCTATAATGTCTGTGATATGCTTATTCCAGAATATTAAATACGTATAAAGCAGAATGGCAATGCAAATATTTTGTTCGTTTGTCATAAATTTGAGACAAAAGTTGATAACCAACATCTGGTTTAGGATATGACGTAAAAAGTCTAATGATATACAGTGGCTTGTTGGATAGTTTTTAGGAGGATAAAACGAGTATTCAAATGAAAAAAAAGAAAATAAAAGAATGAATTGATAAGTAAATTATTGAGTATAACTGGTAAGTAAGGGAAAATAGGCAGGACTAAGAAAGAAATAAATAAATATAGATTAGAAAAACAAAATGCGTTGAGAATGATCAAGAATGAGCCAAGTGCAATTATCTCTGTTTTGCTACCAGATCAATGCTGTTCCCTATTAGATACTTATTTGTATTGGATAAACGTTTTATAATCTAGATTTCTCATAAGGTATGTTTACACTGAATAAAAAGTAATTTGGTAGCCATAAGCTGAAAATCCACTCGAGGAAAATGATCGGCAGATTTGATCAGATAAAGTTGTTCTGATCATTTGATCCATATGGATTATTTTGGATTAGAATTTAAATAACATTTGACACCACAGGATCTTTACCTTATGACGCAAGTGCTCTATTGCTTGAAGAGTTTTGTTTCATCAGGGATCCAAATAATGTAGTCATGCAACCACTTTTGCGTCCAGAGCACATCCACACAACAATATCGGATCTGATCCGTGGATCATTTTCTGGAATGGTTTTCAGATTTACATCAGCCTTTTAAATGTCTGTTCTAAATTATTTATTTATACAGGACTAAATTCTTGTACAAAGTGAATCTTGGATTTTCATTTGTAAAGCTTACTAAATGATTCCATTGCTATTTTTTTCCTGTTGTTCATACTTGCTTCTATTGTTACAGTCTTCACCTGTTTCTGAACATTTTGAGTGTATTTGAAACTTCTGACTTCAGTGTCACATTTGTGGAAATTTATTTCTTTCTCAACCAACCAAACTGATGTCAACAGGTTTTTTTTAATTTCAGAAACTCGAACATGCTCATCTTGTTCACAAGATCTCATACATCAGCCACGACAAGGATGATAAACGTACTTTTGGATACATTGTCAGCCTGCCAGAGGGTCACAATCTATTTGCCTTCAAAGCTGAGAAAAATGTGAGTTGTTCTGTAAATAGCTTTTCTTTTTATTATTTTCATTTTCATGATGAGAGATGCTCTATCTGAAGACCATTTAATTGTGCTGAATAAGTCCCTAGTCATCATTATGACAGCCACCATTCTTGCCAAACCACTTTGAAACCTCAAAGTGTTACTTTTGAAAAATTAACTCTATGTTTGTTGTAAGTTAACTATCATTGTAATCTGACTGAAATCAAAATGCTCTGAACGAACTGCTCTGAGGCTCTGGAATTATATAAAACATTGTTTGAAGAGGGAGTAAGATGCTTTTGACAAGTTGCAGAGATATGCTGCAGTTTACCAAGTATTTTTGCAAGCATTGTCAGAGCTGCCGAGAGGTTTTGCAGATGCTGGAGCAAAGCCGAAAGAAAATTTTTGTGACCATGCCCTTCAGATAAGCTTAGAAGGAATTTTTGAAAATTTCTTGCAGTCATTTCTTGCACTCATTTGAAACATTTTACTATTTTAGTAACAAATTTGCTATGTTTGATTATTTCCATTCTTAAAATGGAATTTATACTTTATGAGGCCCCCTAGACCTCAAGGCCCTAGGGCAATTTGCAACCCCCTTTTGTCCCCCCCCCCCAAAAAAAATATTGCCAACGTTTTTTAATCTTCTGAAGCCTCCAATTGTAGGCTGGGCTCATAACTTCTGACTTGAAAGAACTTTTTCATGTGGTATACCTCAAATACAAGCAAGAGCGAGAAAAAGGAAATCAAGGAGAACAAAGTGATGTAGTGGAAAGTATTAAAAATGACAAAGTGGAACAAGGTTTGCTCTTGTGCCAAATATCAGTTGAACATTATAAATGCTACTTGTAACCATGAGATTTGACGACTCATTCAATTATATCAAATTAAGAAATAGCAAATGGAACTTCACTCAAATCCTTCCAAATATCAATTGTTAAACTGCTCTAATTGATTTCCTCTGTCCAAAAGGCATTGGTGCCCAATTCAAGTAGATAACTTTGGATCAACCTCTGAATAAAGCTTTTCTTACTATTGGTATTGCACACTGATACATCATTATGAACTTTGCCATGAACCTTTAGCTTAAATAAAAAATGTGCAAAAGGTACCATCTATATACCAGCTATGTACCAACTGGTACCAGCTATGTCCCTATATTTCTATCGAAGGTTGTAGATGTTAAGTATGATTTGCTGACCATTCGAAGCTTGTAGATACGAGTGTGATTTGCATAGAAGTTGAGACAATAAACGTCTTTCTATCTCTTACTTGAAAGAATTGAAATGTTTTGTTTCGGCACTGCTACTAATGGTAAAGATTATACTATCGTTTTTTACAGGTTTGTCTCTTAAATGAATATTAATTGATTTGTATATAAATAAATATATTGATTGGGATTTTATATTTAGGGGAAGAGGCACTTGAGCAAGAGAAGCATGAAGATCCATATGCGGTAAGCTCTTTTCGAGGATTATAATCAAGAAAATTTTTATAATCGAACCCGTTTAACTACGGTAAACAAAGATGTTATCTGTGCCTTTCATTTAGGACTAGCCTTTAGTAAATGCATTTCGTAGCAATCGTTTTTAAGACTAACTTCTTTAAATTGGTACAGTTTATAAATAAACTGTCAATTGACGGCCTTTTTACCAAGTATGCTGTTTCTAACAGGGGCTGGGCCTATCAAAAAGTGACACTCCACGACAGATGTTTGTTCATTTTTTATAAAGCATGTTTTTTATCTTATCGCTCAAATGTTTTACTCCTTTCAGGTACCCATGAAGTTCCAGCTTGTTGAGAAGACAACTGATAGCGAGTACGCTGTATGCATGCCATTATTTTTCACCAAATTAAAAAGAGAGTCATTTTGTATACTAGTATAGAATGCGTTTAAAATCATATGTAGTCGTACATATTTTGTAAAAGTGTTGCCGTGCAGTGGAACCCCAAAAAGAAAGACCTAAGAATTTAAGAGCCTACAGGCTGTCAACCCTTTCGAAAGCACATCATTAGCCTGGCACCCCCCCCCCCCTCCATACAAACACTATTATGGCTAAAAGTTGGGGCGATATGGTTATCATGCGCATGCGTTCGCATTCCATAACGAAAAAGATACGTGGTGTGGTATCCGAGAAAGCTGAAGGGTGGGATAAAAAAGAAGTCAGGAGCTGGAAGGTGCGATAGAATTTGCATATAAACATGCAATGATTTCATCCCATCTGCCAGCACATAGGCTGAAATTTGGGATAAATTTGCTCACATAAACAGGCCCTTCGAGTGTTTATCCCTTTTCTAACTTCAAGGCTCGTTATAGAAGCCTCGTCAGTACTCGGTCCCTCTGACAATCCAGACTTATTGCCAGCTAACTAAAACATCGTTTTCGCTGCTCATGAAATTCAATTTATTTTCTTATGAAAGGTTCCAAGTTCAAGACCTGCAACAGATGCAGATAACTTTCAGGTAAGTTTCCCTATATATGAAAACGGGTCAAACTATTATTAATATTATTATACTGCATTTTATATTCATGGACCATATCACAATCGCATCGTTAGTCATTGGCTTTTTTATTAACATATAATTTACATTGCCAAAATTACAGTGGGATCCCGATATAACGAAGCCCGGGATATAACGAACTTTCCGTTATAACGAATGCCTGGTCCCTTAGATTCTGGCTAACAAACTCTTTACAAATTCTCTCGGTATAACGAACCCCGGATATAACGAACTCTCGGTATTACGAACCAAATTCTGGGACCCTTCATCATAATTACCCTCGATATAATCCACATTTTTTATACATTTTTAAATCTGTTATTCATACTTAATTATTTTTTGTGTTTATATATCAATTTCTCTTCGGATAAATCATTATTGTCATCGGCAAAACATGCAGATGATACTTTTCAAGCACTGGCTGATAGACTCAGAGCACGAGATGAAAATTTGATAGCGTCAAAAATTACTGCGAATAAGTACATTGACACTAACAAATACCTTCTTACATATGAGACATTGGCAATGAGCGACGATTAAAAAATTTTGGGAGACGCAGATAGAATGTGAAAAGAAATAGACAAATAAGAATGTGAAGTAATCGAAGACGTCGTTCAGTCGCTGACTAGAAGTGAAGTGATACCAGCTTTGCCAATCTCTTGGTCCTAAATTATAAGAGGAACATAAAGATTTCCATTTTTGATGGCTAAATATTGGCAATATTTGAATTCAGCTTGCTTTTTTTGAGTAAGGTGTGCGCATAAGTTAGAGATAGCCTAAACAAGCCCACCAAAGGTAGTTTCAGGCGTGTACTACGAAAATACCTAAAAGTCGTTTTCTCACGGTTTAATGAACTCCCGAAACGACGAACTATTTTCTGGTTCTCTTAAGGTTTCGTTATATCGGGATTCCACCCGATTCACTGTATCCCAAAATTGACCACCTTCGTCGAAAAACTTCTATTTAGACAACTGATAATATAGTCTATCCGCTTAAAGACTATAACTGTCATCACATATTTTTAAAAATTAAAGTCAAAAGCTCAGGCGATAATTTTGATAAAGAATAGTGTTTTTGACGCCTTTTCCAGTAGCTTTTCCATACATTGTTCGTAGCTTTTGCCTTGCATGAAACGTGTCCCTTAATATATTATAGTTGTCGTTTATATTCAAAAAATAAATTACTTCTTTATTTTAGAGCGAGACCCGAGATGATCCCGAAGATGATGGGGATAACCTTCTCGATTTGGCCGATGTTAATCAAGAATTAGAATTGATGCAAAATGTAAGAAACATTAATGAAAATGTTTCTTTATAATGTCAAAGGATAGGCCTTTTTGCTACGCGAATATTCGTTTGAATATTTTTAGCTGGAGTTAAGCAACTATATAATAGAATAATGGCAGAGAAAGATGTTGATTGAAAAACTCAAATGCTGTTTTCTGTTTTTCATTTTTGATGGCATTCATAGCCTAGTCAATACGTATATTCTGCACGTAGGTGATTCTGATCTGTATCGAAGCCTTTATCATATCCTGGTAACAAAAGAAGGTTTAAACCAAACAACTAAACACTGGTTCTGCTAGAGAAAATTGAAACGTTTTTTGCCTTTTTAACAAAAGCCTTGAACTGTCGAATAGTTTTGTGATTGCTCAAGTATAATAGAGCAAACAAAATTATTAAGATGCCTAGAAAACTGAGTTTCAAAAATGATATCGGTCGACCTTATTAACGAGTGTAGAGATTTTTCTTGCCACTTTAGGTAGTTTCAAAAGTATAGACAACTTGAAATTGTTGATCGTCTAATTATTTGAATTTGTATTGTTTTAGGACATGAAGAGGTCTGACACAAAACAGCTTTTAGCAGAGCTTGGCGAATTCAACTTAGATGACAATCCACCACGACAACCAGAAAGTCAAAATATTTTCTCTGATGATCCGTTTTTTGGTAGTTCTGGATTCTCGGAAAATTTTTCAAGTGGAATGCAAAGTGCCACGTCGAATCCTGATATGAATTCAGCAAAAGACCCCTTCTCTCCAGATTCACAAGAGTTTTTGCCCCAGGCTTCAAACCTTAGCAAAAGCCGTTCTCTAGAGTTTGGTGGGTTTGATAACAACGATGCCTTTTCGTCAGCCTTTGATAACCCGAAACCAGCCAGTACACAACCATTTCTATCTGATGTCGGGGATCACTTTAGCACTGCTTCCGCACCCCAGCCCAATTTTGGGGCTTCAAATACAGGGTGGTCAAACTCTTTTGGGGGCGGAGGAGGCGGTCAGCTACAAACATTGTCACCGACTGTCAATGAGAATTCTTTGTTTTCAAGCAATGACCAAGTACCTGCTCCAGACCTTGTTCCGGAGAAATTATCAGAGCCGAAAGCTGGCACTGGAGACCCGTTTGCAGCTCTGTCTGGCAATATAAGTGAAATCAGGGGCACTCTTCCCAGTGGTGGCAATGTCCAACAGTTCCAGAAGAAAGCCAAACCATCTCAAGCATCCCCAACAGACCCTCCACGTGTTATAAGCCCGGGTCCTTCTTTGCCCATACCACAAGGACAACCTGGCTTACCGCAGCAACAATACCAGAATGGACAATATGGTGGATTTTCACAGACCAACCCCTTTGGCCAGCCATCCATGCAAGCAAACATGGGATACAACCAGAGATTTAGCCCCCCTCCAATACCATCAAGACCCGACTTGCCCCAAATTCCGATGCGCCAAGATCTAATGCCAGGTGTTGGTGGATTTCAAGCAATGTCTTCAATAGAACAACAGCAGGCCCTGCCCATACAAAAGCCATATAGTCAGCCCATGCAACCAGCCTTTCAGACACAAGGTTTGTTTCTCCTGTACATTTGATGGGACCAGAACTTCCAGGAAAGAGACAGCCCTCAATCATTTATTTCTTAATCTCATACTTAGTCACATACTACAAAATGCATTTCCTTCTGTACGAATTGGGTATTGCTCTCTTAGGAAAGTATATTTGTATATGTAAGCAAACAAGATAACAAAATCTTCATTAAGCCCGTAAACCCTCTACGACAAACAGCGATTTGAGTTTGTGATTGCAATAATAAACCGTGATGGTAATTCTTTTTGACAGGTAACAACGGCTTTGGGTCAGCTACAGACCCTTTTGCAAACCTCGGGGGTGCGTTTTCAACAAGTGACTCCTCCACAGCCCAGGAGCCCCTCTACGCAGTCGTGGATAAAACGAAAAAAAACAAGCAAAATACTGACGTGTTTGGCATGTTTGACAACACAACAACAGGTTTTAATGGAGGATCAAGCCATTCAAGTGCCAATACTAATTCAAATCAGGTATGACGTTTGTTAATCGGGTCATACTTTTGGGCCAAGCCATGTTAATTGGGCCAAACGAGCTTTAAGTTCAGTTTTAAACACTGAAAGATACTGTGCTAACCAGAAGTCCTTCCCTTTTATGGTAACCCAATTTTTTCTTGTAAAGGAAAAAGGGCCTTTTCAAAAACTCTCTCAAATATTGCGATAGTATCGTCTATTTCGTTGCCTGTCCGTGTTTTATGGAATCTATTAGAAACGAGGTAGTTTTGTTTGTATTTTGGTATTATAATCCGTTGTTTCTTCTTGCTGTAAATATCCACGGAGAAATTTTTTGGGTATAATTTCATGCATTTTAGCTATGAACTTTTTTTCAGGACCTATTTGGCTTTGGTTTCTAATCATTGTTGGTTTTGAATGGCGGAGTTCCAGAAAGATACACATCGGTACTTTTCTATCTATTAATGCGAACCCAAAAGTCAGTTATGCATATGTTTAAACTTTATCTTTACAAAACATTTTAAATTGCCACCTTCAGCGTGGATGTCCTGTTTGCCTTTCAAGACGTTGCTGTAAAATTCAAGGCAGCTAAGAATCTTCCTTCTTCCACAGACTTTTCTTTAAAATCCTTTGATTTTTCTATAAAATCGTCTGTTTTTTCTATAAAATCGTCTGTTTTTTCTATAAAATCGATTGTATTTTTATGAATGAATTTAATTTTATACATTTTCATAGCACATTAAAATTTATATTGCAATACATAGTATAGGTTTATGTAAGATATAATATATCGTTGTTAACTTGGTATCACAATGGCTAAAGTGCACAGGCTTTCAAGTAGTTCATAACAGAGATTAATAACATTGTTCCCAGCAATAGTACCCTGCTTAAATAGAGTCCCCCTTGACCCGAACGTAAGGGATTGAGATGAAATGTAAGGAATTTTACTTCCAGTGATAATTAAAATATTAGAATTTGTTGATGAAAAGACTTGTTCGAAATATTAGAAATATTGCATAGTGATTAAGTGAAGACGTCATGACAATATGGTTTAAAAGTTTTCAATTTAGTGAAGACGTCATGATAACTCCACCACATTACCTTTGACTCATTAGGCCTACTAGAAAAAGTCTCAAAGGTAGTCTTATTTGGGCCTATCTCAAACCATTCCTAAGAGCAGAAGCACTACAACAAATTAAAACAAAATATCAGTTAAAACATTGCTCACCACTCTGCTGGACGTTTTTATCTTTAATGGGATGACTTTGCCGAATATTATAATAATTTCTCTTTCCAATATTTTCATTTCATGTTGCTGTTTTCTTTGAATATGGAATGGCCTAAAATACAGAGTCAGAACTTGATAATTTTGAATATCAAAAGCCTATATTCCATATTCAAAGAATAAATATTATTATCCGCTGCTTTTCAGCTGTCAGAAATTGCTACTGTTTGTCAAAAACTTCTGATTGAATAAATTTGTTTATAGAGAGATTGATATGATATAAAAGATTAATAGATTGATATATTTTGCAAATTGTGATCAGATATTTGACATGGCATGTATGGAGAAAATTCTAATTGTATTTTTCGGATGTTCTTTCATATTTGTGATCTTTCTGCTTCAACTTTTTTTGGAACTTTCATGATTATTATCAGTAAGGGCGATTTTTTGGGGTACACAATTTCAAAATGGCTTTGAAAAAAGCAAACATTTTAGAACATACTGAAGCTTTTCGTCTGATACTCTTCAGAGTATAAAACATCAGAACATAGATCAAAACACTGTGCTAGGAAATATATATATATACCCAGTTGTGACCAACCAGTTGAGACCAATCAGAAACGCGAGGACATGACTGTTGAGGTTGCCCAATCAGTGCCGGAGTCCTTAGGTGAAAACAAACTCCTTCTGTCTACACAATATCAGTTTTTTATGCTTTTGTAGATGAATTCCAAAACTGCTAGATGGAAGACGATGGGGCTTTATCAATTATCCGAATCATGCCGCTATTATAGTTTTTTGCACAATCTGGGTTTTCCAGTAAATGCTGCCCGATGGCAAAATCGCATGTTTTAGTTGTAGTTTTAGATCTGCAAGACCGAGGTGGCTGGTTTCTTTGGGGTAGAGTTTTGTTTCTAATGTTAGAAGGGACATGTATTTTCTTCTATCCCCAATCTTTAGTCTGAGCTCTAAGCAAAGTATTTGACTTGAATTGTGCAAATTGTGATCATGAAAATGGGTACACTAGAGTAATTTCACACGCTGATGATGATGCCGAACAGACACAAGCTGAAACATGCCCCCAAGTGCTATTTTTAGACTGGGGTACTTGGCCCCAGTCCTCGAATTGGGCCAATCTTCATATGTCATTACTAATTTCTGAAAAAAGTGCGAAAGGAAAGATTTAGGTGCATTATCATATATTAAAATATATTAAGAAAAAAGGAAATGAAAAATTGCCCCTTGATGCTATTTTTAAAATATGATATTGGTACCCATGTCTCTATTCAGGCATTCTTCTCTAAATAATTACTCTCTTTTAAATGAATATGAAATGTAGCTTTCTTCATTCTTTGAACAAACTGAAATGTAATACGAAAAGATGTAATTGACAATCTCACTCCTTGATGCTATTTTAAGAATGGGGTAATGGAATCAAGTTCTAGAATTTGGGTTTTAACCTCATAGTCTAAGCTCTAAGCTCAGTATTTGACTTGAATTGTGCAAATTGTGGTACCAGCATGAAAATAGTAACTCTGGGGCAATTTGACACGTTGATAATGATGCCGAACAGACACAAGCTGAAAAATGCCACAAAGTGCTATTTTTGGACTGGGGTACTTGACCCCAGTCCTCCATTTTGGATTTCATCCATACGTAGTTAACTAACGTTTAAAGTGAGCATGAAGGTAAAGGTTTAAACACAAGTCTACACGATAAAAGTATAACACAGAAACAATTGAAATATTACCCTTGATGCTCTATTTAGAATGGACTAGTGGAGCCCAGCCCTTTATAAGCTTTCTTCAATAAATCATTACTATTTTTGGTATGAATACGAAATAAAGTGAATACAGTGGAAGCCCGATATAACGAACTCTGAAGGGAACCAGAAAATAGTTCGTTATATCGGGAGTTCGTTATACCGAGAGACAAGGTTTTTTTGGGTCCTTTCGCAGTTCACGCCTGCGGCTTGTTTAAGCTATATCCAACCTCGGTGTACATTTAACTCTAAAAAACCAATCTAAATTCAAATAATACAACTGGCTGGTCATTGAAAATGAAAATTTTAATATTCCTTTTATAATTTGGGACCAAGAGATTGGCAAAGTTGGTATCACTTTGCTCCTAGTTGGTGCCTGAATGATGTCTTCGATCACTTCACATACTCATTTGCCTTTTCCTGCTTTTCCATCTGGCTCTCGCAATCAATTTTTGCGTCGCTCATTGCCAGTGTCTCATATGTAACAGGGTATTCGTTAGTGTCCATGTACCCATTCGTAGTAATTTCTGATGCAAACAAACTTTCATCTCGTACACTGAGTCTATCAGCCAGTGCTTGGAATCATCGGCATGTTTTACCGATTGAAGAATATTTCCCCCCAAAAAAAAGCGACAAATGATCACCGAAAATAAATGAACAAAAATAACAGATTAAAAATTTATGAAAAGTTCGTTATATCGAGGGTAGTTGTGGTGATGAAGGGACTAGAAATTGGTTCGTAATAACGAGAGTTCATTATATCCGGGATTCGTTATACCGAGAGAATTTATAAGGAGTTTGTTAGGCAGAATCCAAGGGACCAGACATTTAGTTCGTTATATCCGGGGTTCGCTATATCGGGATTTCACTGTATTGAAACTCTGGATTGCTACTACTCTTCTCAGAGGCCTTCAAGAAAAGCATAGAAGAACTACGTAGATTGAAGTTTGGAAAACACAGAGGCTAGAAGAATCAGTGCAATTCTATTATTGATTTACTGTAATGAAGTCAGAGTCAATGCTATTGTTGCTAGTTAAAGCAACAAGGGAGTCAAATCTTCACATGTTTCTAAGTGCCCTTTATTAGATTGCACCTTGGATGTTTAGCCTTTGTCATACAAACTACTCGCGCTGGCTGCCGATATAACATCAATCGTATCTAAAGTAGCCTATAATTATAACGATTTTCGCCCCTCCGAAAATGTCCCAGTTTGTAAATGCAGTAAGGGTACTGAACATTTCTGCTACTTTGGATATGCAAATTATGCGAGACTTTCAGAAGTAGCGCCACATTTTTCCTGTACATGTGATAAATTGCATTGACCTTCAGAGGCAGGAAACGAGAACATATTTAAACATATCGTTTTATGCATATATTAACTGCGTTTTTCACAATATTTTTCGGTGATTGAAAAGTTGTATGAAGCTACACTTTAGTGTTTACATCAAAATTAGCGATATTTGACAGTAAATGAAAAAGTCGAATGAGCTTGGATCTAAGTAGCCAATTCTTTAAAGAGAAACAAGGCAGAATTTTGTCTTCTCTTGATATTTTAGTGTATCACAAAGTATAGAATGATATACTTCGTATGTTCTAAATAGCTAAAGTTCATTGATAAATTCAAGGATATTTGATTTTTTGATAGATTTTTCACCTAGAAATATCGTTAAACAACCACACTGACGACGTCATCATTTACCAGCCCCCTGTACTCTCTATATGCTAAATAATCTAAATTACTCAAGAGATTTAGGCACTTGGTTAGATTGTTGTAATAATTTACCTGTCTATAATGACCAATAACTTACAATAAAATAAAGTCTAAAAAGAGGGTCTATCATTTGCAGCATCTTAAGGTAATTTTCTACTTCATTCTAAAAATACTGTTTGGTTAACCAAAAGATAGACAGCCATACTATAACGTTTACATCAAAAATAAGTAATGGCTTGTAGAAGAGCGTTTAGATAGAGGCCTAGAGGCAACAACCCTAATCTAAAAGTAGAATCAAAGGACAATATTGTTTCTTTGTTATACTTTTATCGTGTAAAACTATGGTTAAACCTATGCCTTCATCCTCACTTTAAACGTTGGTTAACCACGTATGGATGAAATTCAAAATGGAGGACTGGGGTCAAGTACCCCAGTCTAAAAATAGCACTTGGGGACTTTTTTCAGCTTGTGTCTGTTCGGCATCATTATCAACGTGTCGAATTGCCCCAGTGTAACCATTTTTATGCTGGTACCACAATTTGCACAATTCAAGTCAAATACTGAGCTTAGAGCCTAGACTATGAAGGTAAGACCCAAATTCAATCTGGGTTCCAGTACCTCATTTTAAAAATAGCATCAAGGAGTGAGATTGTCAATTACATCTTTTCGTATTACATTTCAGTTTGTTCAAAGAATGAAGAAAGCTACATTTTATATTCATATAAAAGAGAGTAATTATTTAGAGAAGAATGCCTGAATAGAGACATAGGTACCAATATCATATTTTAAAAATAGTATCAAGGGGCAATTTTTCATTTCCTTTTTCCTTAATATATTTTAATATATGATAATGCACTTAAATCTTTCCTTTCGCACTTTTTTCAGATATCCGTAAAGACATATGAAGATTGGCCCAATTCGAGGACTAGGGCCAAGTACCCCAGTCTAAAAATAAAACTTGGGGCATTTTTCGGCTTGTGTCTGTTCGGCATCGTCATCAGCATGTGAAATTACCCCAGTGTATCCATTGTTATTCTGGTATCACCATTAACACGATTCATGTTCTGACAGCCCAGACTATTTTGGGTTGTGCGTCCGACGTAGCCAGAATTCCACTGGCACGTAGCACGTAAATACTCACCCAACATGGTTCTTTGGGAAAGAGCCTGTAGTGACCTTTCCTTATGAAATATTCTTAAAATGTTTAAACAGAACCAATAGATCTTAGTACGTCAAATATGAAAGGGTAGGATATATCTGGCTGAAAAATCAAACTGAAGTATAGTTGATGTGACTATGTATGTATGTATCTTGAATGGAGTGTTGAAGGCAGATACTGTACATTTGTTACCATACGGCTTTCTTACGTCTATACGAAAGCACTTTACTGTAAGCTACCAGGAGATTTATTCCGGAAAATATATTTGAGGGGGTTTGCTTAAGGAGGATTTATTCGAGAGGGGCTTTTAGCCGTAACCAAAAAGTTCAAAGAAGTTGGTCATAAAACAATCAATATAACAGCAAATATTGCTGATAAATTAGCAGATATTGTAGGATCCTCAACCTCAACCATACGGTGAAAAGAGAATTACTTTTGAATCGTGATTCTAAAGGGGCTTTAAAATAGTAAGTATAGTCACATTTTGTGAAATTAAACGGTCAGTTGGGTGATAACTTTTTTCCTTGACTGAGAAAATTACCGATACCGCAAATTCTTGAATTGGCCCCCTCGCATAAGCCCCCCCCCCCTTGAATACGCCCCCACCCTGGAAACAAAAAATTATCATTCCCCCACCCTCGAATAAGGACCTACTTCGAGGGGGCCATATCGCTTATTTGCTTATTTGCCTGTTCTCATATGGCCATATCGCTTATTTTGCATATTTAGAGGTACTTAATGATGCTATTTCAGGATTTTGGATCTAAATTCAAAATTTCTTTGAATAGATTTTTGTGATGTCATCACTTGAGAACTATATTGCAATTAATCTTGTCTTTGGTGACAAATAGAGTCCACTTCGTGGACAAGTAAAAGTTTTCTCCACCTCTCTTTTGCCTTTGAGCATCGATTTCTTTTTGTGACGACAAACTTCTATCATGGTTTTAAATAACTTCCACGAGTACGAGCCACCAAAAAAATTTCAAACTGATATCTCAAGCGGTTACTGAATATCTCAATAATTTTGGAGTGACCCTCGTATGGCTTCTACTTTATATTCTTGAAGAATTTCGATGCTCCGTAAAGCGAGGCAGTAGCGAAACAGAGGCTCGTAGAGTAAGTTTAATGCAGGCACCGCGGAGGGTTGAGAAAAGTGGGGGGTCTAAAAAAGTAGGGGTGGGGGGGCTAAAATCGTATAAAAAGAGGCTTTTCTGGTAGTTTGATACTTAATATTTGGCATCTTTTTGCAAAAAGTGGGCTAAAGCCCCCCCCCCTGCTCCGCGTTGCCTGTAATTAACACCATGTCTTTGCAAAATATCGCAGCTAATTGGACTTTTTTTGGATTTGAGTAGTTTAAAGAGTACATGAAGATTTCCGAGGACTTCCGGATTTCTAAAGGATTTTTTGTGCATTTTCGGGTTTTTTCGGAGTTTCTTAAATACCAGAGGTGATGTAGGGAATTTTTTAGGCGAAATGCCCCTTAGTCTATTTTTGGCATTCCTGTCTATTGCCCCTTAGTCATTTCAGGAAAAGCAGAGGGTGCTGAGAGGGTGCAGTTAAGTTAAGAAACTATTAAAGAACTTTTAGAACAGAGGGTGGGCAGCCTACGGTCCGTGGGCCAGAATCCGGCCCTGAAGATAAATTTTGTGGACCGCGAGATGATAAAATCATATTATAATTTCCTTTTGCTTGCCAAGGATGATTTTCCAAGTAGTCACAAATATTAAATGAAACATATTGATTCGAAAATAGATTATCTTCACCAAACCTGGGAGACATAGAAAGAATTGTTTCACTATCCGTTGTCAAGAATTCGTCCTGCTGAAAGAAGGAACAGCAGAATCTTCGAGGGACAGGGCAAACGTTAACAAATGCATCAACGACGAATCTTGCTGGGCGCACTCATAGCAGTTGAGAAGGGATTACGGTTGTACCTATTTTGTCATGTCTCAGTTGTCGATGCTGCGCCGGGGTCTATCCTGGATATATTTGTGCTTACGCATATTGACGCGAATGCAGGGGTGTAGAGCTAGGGAGCTCTCAGGGGGGCTGAGTCCCCCTTGTTGATGCCAAGAATTAGCAAATTTCTACTTTTGCTATTGTTTTTTATAACATTTTTGTAGGAGCCCCCCTTGCTACTTTGATAGCACTACTCCACTGCGTGAATGGCCATAGATGAATGACCGATGCTAAACGTTGACTGGTGAATAATTCTGTATTTCCTTCCTATGATGATTACTCCAAACCCTGAATAACATCATTTTTAACTTTGGTTGTTTTTTGTCAGTTTTAGATTGTGATAGTCTTATCTTGTAAACTCAAGGTAGCCGCCAGTTGCAATCTAACTTTGTACTAGAGAAGTTTATAATTTTGGTGTATTTAAATTTAAATGAAAATTTCTCACTGTTAATATTATCATTTTATTAAAAGTATTGTATTCATTTTTTCTATTACCTTTGACCCGCTTAAAGAGAAGGCTTGAAAGATCTGGCCAACTCTCCAAAAAGGTTGCCCACCTCTGCATTCGATCGGAAATGATCCAAATACAAGTAATTTGAAAAACTAGGCCTTGAGGTAGGTTTCTAATAAAAAAGCGTGTTGTATCTATTGAAAATTATATGACACATCCAATGTTGAATTACATGTTTTTTTATGGCAGTACTCAATAAAGAAGGATATCTGACTGGCATTATCAAATTAATATTCGAATTATTTGAATTAAAAAAATGAAGTTTCGCTAGTTATTTGAATTAAGCTGACCCTTTACGTGTAACAAAAGTGCAAACAATTATTTTCGTTACATTTTGATCAATTAATTATCTTTACTTGTCTTCTGGCATCTTTATACCTCTATATTTACTTGCTCCTAGTTTTTATTCAAAGAAACACGAAGAAAAACGTTCATGAATTACTAAGGAATTTTAAGCACTAAGATTTGGCTTTTAGTTAAGGAAGTTTTATTACTGAGCCTAAGCTGAATTTCCTTATAAAAATGTCTGTATATCTTTGTTAGACAAGAAACGTTTCGATGATTATCTTGACAGTTTGTCTTGATCTCATTATGACAAAAGTTGATGATGTTGAATAACAACCATGTGAGCAATTGTAAAAGTTTGACGTTCAAAATGATCTCATATAAAAATGTTATATTAGTCTTATCAGCAGGTGTTGAAACTCATTTCGAATGTATGCTAGGAGCAGGAGTCTTATCATGTCAGTATCCTACTCGATTTTTGAAATAGGCCTAAATATATATATCCCTACAGATTTGACCTATATATCCCTGCAGATCTGACGAAAGTTTCTCTCCACTGCAGAACACCAAGGCTATAAAAACTAGTACCTAAAATAAACATTGAAAGAAGACAAACTAGGTTGTGACTCACCATAATTCATGTCAGCAAGTCAATTGAAAGTGAACTTGAGCCATCTTGAACTTATGTGATGGCGGCGTAATTTGAATTTGCTCCTGTGCAGCTTTGTCAATTTCGAAGGCACGGACGGCTGAGAGAGCGTCAAAGGGCTATAATGATTTCAAGTACTGTTTCAAGTACACCTAAAAATCCTAAGTTCTGGTTTTATGAAACTTTTAGGGGTCGCCAAGGGAGTGTTTTCTTTGATGCCCCCATTTTGAAATTGAAGGTGCAGCCCTGGCCCTTTGGCTCCCGAACGATTGTGCTTTCCAAGCTCAAACTAGAGGTAAAGTAGTCTTATTCTCCAATAAACGGTCCAATTTTCAATAGAAAAAGCTTTCCCTAAAGCATATTTTGAGCCTTGGTCAAACGATCCAACATTTCACCTAACATTTCGCCCAACATGGTGTTGGGCCTAATGTTGGATCGTTTGACCGCCTTGTTGGGTCACTCAACATCGTAAATTTCGATGTTGGACGAAATTTGACTGAGGTCAAAAATGTTTCCTGCCCACGTCCAATAATTCTATTGTTTTGAAGTGTTAAGTGAAATGTTGGATCGTTTGACCACCTCTGCCAACATTGTTGGCTCTGCGTACACGCAGTTGGCTAAAGAGCGTCAAAATTCAATCATCGCATCGTTTTTGTTTTCTTGGGCTGGTTTCGTTCGTTTCAACAATCGCGTTTGCTTACAATCAGTTTCACTTGAATAATGGACAATATAACGAAATATAACGAATTCTGTGCGAAAGAAGAGGCATCAAGCATCAATAAAGAAACAGTAGCACAGGGGAGCTACAAGAAAGCGCAGGGGGACAAATTTAGGCCACAGCCTTGATAGGGAATGCGACGCTCGTCCTGAAAGACCGCGATGATAGTGAAAATATCTGAAGTGAAAATAAAAAGAGAAGGCAGTGATTTCTTTGCGTTTTTGGACCGAAATGTCGCAAAACTGTGCAGCATTCAGCGCGAACTTCTACCCAGTCCTCTTTTTATCTGCGCATGAAAATGTTGGGTGAAATGTTGGGTGAAATGTTGGGTGAAATGTTGGGTGAAATGTTGGATCGTTTGACCAGGGCTTTATCGTTTATACGCAAAGAAAATGTTGAATAATTTTGTTCTGTGCAAAGTTAAGAGGTTAGGTGATTAGGTTCATTTCAAATTTTAAAAAGGCATAAAAACCTGGAATGGAGACAAATGCACCTGTAAAATATGTAAATAAGTAGATTAATGTTGAACTTTTTCCTTTTTTGTACATAAATGGTTGGTGTTAATTGGTTTTACATAATCATCTATGTATATTCCAAACCTAATCAACTATATTCCAAACCAACTGCAAATTAAGAGATTATCATTATCATTATTATTCTATTATTTTTATTAGATAACTATGATATTCAACTCGACAACTAACATTGTCTGGGGGAAAGGAGCTGTGATGCTGGTCATATTTACGGGCAATTGGGGCAGGGATTTTAGAAGGCTTGTAGATAAGATATGGGCAGTTAAATAATGACAAGCAGTCAAAAATATGCTGGCGAGTTATTTTTAGACATTAAATTAAGGGAAAGACCTGGATGCCTGAAGCAAAGTCCTAACAAGGGAAGGGAGACACTAAGAAAAGAGGGAGGATCAAGCATGGCGACTTTTAAGAAGACAGGGTACGAGAGTCTTGGAATCAAGAAGAAGATAAAGCGTACCAATGTTTTGCAGCTCTGGGAAGAAAGATGAATTGTGAGACAAAGTTCATGAACTTGGCAATTAAGATTTTCTGGGGCTTGGAACATGTCCAGGGGACCACAAGGATAACATCTCTGGTATTTGGAGAGCCATGTTGAAAGCAACACAACATCGATAAGGAAGAGGGTGGAGAGACTAAAGGCACACGAAATGTGTTTTAGCCTTTTGAATAGCGGAATCATCAAAACAACAGGAAAACTGCGCTACATTGGGAATTACCTTACATTTCCTTGACGATTATGAATGCCGATGGCAAGTGACCTCCCCCGTAAAAAGGAAAGTGACCAAACTCTTGCATCCATATCCAAAATTACAATGAACCGAACTATCTACTCGTTTATTTAAAAAATTTTTGTTGATGTAACAAAGACAGCAAAAAGTTGTTACAAATAAGTTGTAACAAGACAAAACGTGACACAGGCATCACTTTCGTTATCAGTTGATATGGATGAGCCATTAGTACCACAAAACCAAAGCTATTGCGCGGTAAAAACCAGCAATTATAAACAGGATACAAAAATATAGATGATCAAAGAAGTTGGTGAGCAATAAAGATATCATAATACATCAATCTCTAATTACAAAGCTGAATATTGTCCACAATTTCTAAACAGCATTTAAGATATTTCCCATTATTACTCTTAACACAATAAAACGACCATTGATAAGTTGCTAAATTTCTTTCATTGTTGAAACATACTATTACACAGAGCATTTGCAGCACCTGAGGCAGCTAGCCTCCAATTGCTTGTAAGGCATGTAGAAAGTTTTCTTAAGATGAAAAGTGCTCATTTTCTTGTTGAAAGGGACTTTTTGTATTTATCAAGGACTCTCTGCACAATTGCCAAAAGTTTGATTGATGTTTTTTATCTCCAAGTTTTGCTCATGATAAAAATGCCAAGCTACACATTATGGCGGGGCACACATTAGAATTTTACCTTCTCTGATGAGATTCGGTATCATTGTCAACAACAACAACAACAACAACATTGTCAACAACAAAAGGATAAACTTTGAGCAATCAGAAATACGTCTTATTGTTCATACATTTGCTTTAAATCATTAACAAATATTACTAAAATTACAACTTTGTATAACTTATAATATCCCCAATTATGACAATACACTATGTTTGGAATATAACCAGTGATTATATACCTAATATATATATCATAGAAACGCAAAAGACTTTAAACTACATCAGTTTTATTCAAGAACAACACTGTTCTAAATATTTGCTCTAAATATTGTAACTTTACACTAAATATTCGATGTTTGTCCTAAAGTAGCTCTTGCTGATGAAGATTCCTTTGCTAAATTTCAATCTGATTCAAAATTACAATTTCATTAATATGAACTTACAAGTTTGAAGAAATTGCTAAATGAAAATAAAAAAGTGAAAATAGCTACACTTGCTATGATGACACAACGTAAATATTTAAAATTTATAACATTGACAATTACAGTGCTGATGACATAAGAAGCTGCTACCAGCATTTCAAACTGACGTCATGAGTTCGTGACAATGCTGTAGCAATCTGTAATAAAGCTTTCAACTGAACAAAAAAAGCGGGGAAGCTATAGTGATACAAAGGGACTGATGCAGCGTATTTTGATGGCCTCAAGTTAAATTAGGTTCAAAACCAAAGCTCCTTTCCCTCCACACGTGAAAAATCATTCCATCAGATTCGTCTCTTGGAGATGGTGGACTGGAGATGGCAGTGGCGCCCTAGAGGAGCGCATTTGAAACAAGGGCCGCAGGTTTTGAAGCTAATTTTGAAATGACGACAAATGATTTGAGCACCTCTCCCCTGCTTACCTAATGGCGGCACCCAATGTGTGAAATTGAACCCTCCTGACTTCCCGGGTTTGACGTTCAGATATGTATATTATACAGATGAAGAAAAAATGCCACTTATTCACGCAATTTAACCAATGAACCTATAATTAACAATTTTTTCATGTTAAGTTTCTCCCGACACAGGAAACCCCCTAGTTATGTTTCCTAGCATTAGGACCTACAAATTATCCTGAAAAGAACAAGTTAATTGGATTTTACCCTTACTGTTCCTGCTGCCTTATGTACTTTATTGACAGACGCTTTGACTTTTGCATCAGCTTCTTATGTCACCAATGCAACGAAAAATTCCCGATCAACAGGAGAAAAAAGCTAAGAATATAAGTCTATAGATGTTTCGCAGACGATATCGAAATCGCTATGCCAATGATTTTCAACCAAAAGTTTAAACCAGTACAATATGCTGTAATGCATATCACCAAAGAAGAGGGTTGGGGAATTGCAGCGTAGGCTATCAGATGACTTGATATTGTGCACGTGTGTGACTGGACGTTCTTGCGACGGGTTGTAGTGGATTTTGCTGCAGCTGAGTCGGCCTACGCAGAGTCAGAAAATAGGGTAGTGGGTGTGACATGGCCCAAGCCAGTCTATGGCTTCAGTTGATAACCAGAGGCACACTTTAGTTTACAACCGAACTGAAAAACAATCGCTTTTTAATTCAGCCATGCAAGAAAACTACCATGTTTATAAAGATGCACAAAAACACAAAAAACAACTATATCTTTCTACCAGAATTAACAAATATTGGCAAAAAAAATAAACGTATGAAAGAACCATTGGTTGAAAGATTCCAGACGGAAATCACAAAGGATTTTAGAAAGGACACCGTCCTTGAAAACGAAAAAACACGATTTCATACAACCGCGCCTAATCAAACATGCAGATCAAGTAAATTTGGACCATCTTGTGATCATAGAACATCGGGGAGTTCGCAACACCATGCTGGAATTCGATGGTTCTATAGCAAATTCCAATCTTTCAGTTGGGGCAAACCAGTGACAAATTCATGGCGGATAGGGGCCGCTCATTTACTTTTTTGGCCGTGAAACTTCTTTAGTGTATATAGAGAAAATTACTTTTGAATACAAAGAAAAATACAGAGGAATGTACAAATCTCGATGATATAGGCCGCCATTGTATTGATTGTGATATTTGCCCCACTTGTGTCATGAGTCGCGATCTCCGAGATGGTCCACATATATGGCTTTGCCTCCTTACCCTCTGTCCGCCCAAAATACAATAATTCAATTCAGTACAACTCAGCAATTAAAATAGCAACTGCACGATAGAAATACCAGTCCGGTATGTAATCCTAGCGAGACGAGCCAAATACCGGTCTCTGAACAAACCCCAGGATGTTTATCTGCAAAACTTAGAGTTCAGTGTCAAGAAAATTGTTGTTCAATTGTTCGCTAGGACTTATGCTTTCATAACCTTGTTTTGTCACTGCACTCAGTTTACTGACAGTCTTACCTTCTGAGTAATTATCGGTAGTCTTCTTTTGGTCATCAGCCAACTCTGACAAAAATGCACCATTGGTTGCATTTAGTTCTTCCAGGGGGCGATCCTTTATTTGTGTGTACTTGCCGGGTTCTGGGTCCGGCGATGGCGCATTGCTGCGCGTGTCTTCTAGCGCTGTGTAGGAGCCATTCTGTTCCGGGATTTTCTGGAGATGGATTTTTGGACTGTCGTCGCTTCTGTTGGCTGACTTTGTGGAATTCTTGCGAGCAAACACATCGTCACTGCCAGAAGACGAAATTCTTGAACTCCGAGATGATAACACACTGAGTGAGCGAGGAGGGGTCCCTGTTGAAACGCGCTGACTTGCTGCGTCTTCAGCGAATGGGAACCCTGATTTTCGAAAGCTGGTAATTGTGTTCCGTGTATTAGACTGGTCTGTGAATCGCCGGCGACGGTAGTATGAAGAACGACTAACGAATTTAGCCTCCCATTCGTATCTGTAGTATTTTGGACAAAAACAGCCGAAAAGTAACGCAATTGTCGACCTTCGAAAAGACTTGTGCAAGCGCGAATAAATGAGTGGGTTTACACAAGAATTTGCAGCTAACAGTAGCGACAATACGCGGTAAATTCTAAAGTTCGTCTTAGTCAACGGCACTTTGTTGTATGTTGCGAGAAGACTAAATATATTGAACGGCAGGACTAGCGATACAAAAATTATCACAACGATAATGAATAGCTTGGTCGCTTTCCGTTGCCTCCTTGTGCGAATCGTTACGACATTGTCCGTTTCACTGAGTCGTCTTGCTGAGACAGAGCCTGACCTGAGTTTAAAAATTATAAACGAATATAGCCCTGACATTGCTAATGTCGGTATCAATACCTGTATAACAAACAGGGCCATATAGAACTTTTTGCGCTCATTGATGTCCAACGTAACCATACATCGATAGCGTTCAACACCAACTGCCTTTTGCTCCAAGTGAATGAAGTATGGAGACGCTATGCATGCCCCAATAAGCCATGTAACAAATACCACGACTAGGTTGAAAAAGGTAAGGCCCTGTCTAATTCTCAGAGGCCATACAACAACAAAAAACCTATCAATGGCTATTGTAACTAGTGTAAAGGCAGACACAGAGATACAGGTCGATCCAAGCCAGCTGGATAGCTGACAACCAATAAGGTGCCCATTTCCTGGGTCATGGAGCTGCAGTGCGTCTCTAAGCATCTCCAACGGCACAGTGAATGTCCCTATCAAGTCTGCAACGGCCAAACTGACCATAAAGACTTCACAAGTTTTCAAGGCACTCCATCGCAACGAAAATATAATTAGAACAAGGAAATTTCCAAATGTGCCAACCAACATAATCAAGATTGAACAAATTACAGTTACATAGTACAAGGCATCGCGGTTTGGCATACCACTGCCCTTCAGGGTCGAGTTTGTTCCGTTGTTTGTATTATTGACTAGTGATTGATTTAAGCCCGAGGAAGCGGCAGATACAAGGGTAAAACCCATGGCTGCGGTACTCACTACTATGCTGAACATTTGGGCCAACGTATGATTTAAAAAAAACCAACTCTTGTCTCTTGCAACTATCTTGAACCAAGATTAAACAGTGTACACCATGATTAAACAGAAATGAACTTGACCTTCCATTCCAGAAGCTGTTTTAGACTCCAAGGCCATACCTACAGGAAGAATAAAAACAGCATTTAAGAAGGAGATGAACGAGAGGAGTTTTAAACGATAGCTTTGAAAATAACTGAGTTTCAAAAGCCCGAGGGGTTGTCACAAAAGCTGCAGGTCAGACGCCACAATTACACAAAAATCAAAAATCTGCCACAGGAATCTGCTTCTTCCCAGACCGAAGAGTGTGTCATTTGTTAGCTGTGTCAGGTTTAAGTATCGATCTCAAACGTGTACACGGAGAGTTTATTTCATACACCATAGACCTTATATAAAGATACTATAAGGTCTATTAGAAAGGCTATAAATATTTCATTAATAAAGAAGAAGTTAAAATATCGAGCTCTTGTATGACTTAAAACATGGTTCGAGATAATTTTAAGGGTAATATCAATAGTCCCGAGATTTAGGACTTGATTCCTATAAAACACAAACCCCTAACAAAACGTAGCTCTTTTTCTAAAAAAAGAGTTACTACCAATATTGATTCAATAAGATATTTGTTGAAATATAAGTGGACTATTTGAAGGGGTTACATAGCGACATTGGTATCATTGTTACGCCAGTAAATGAGCATACGAAGTGCTGATTTAAAGTCATTGCAGTTGCAAATGCGGAAACGAAGGTCTACTCGGTCACTTGAAGAACGATAGTTGTTCGTCTCTGTTGTGAAGTCAATATATTTCGTAGCCCACGCCATCATGGGTGATTCCTACTCGTCCCAGTCTTCTTACGGGATATATTCACGCCCTATATTGTAAGGTTAAGTTTTTTGAAGCAGTGAAGTTACGATAAAGTCACCCTATAAATTTATGATGGGCTAACAAGTTACGTTTACGTTATAGTTGTATATAGTCACGTTTTGTATATATTTGAAGATAAAATCAACGATATGGAGTTTCATTCACGTCTACGCTCTACAGAAGCTATGTTCAAAATAGTCTCTCTAGCTAGCTGACGCAGTTTCGACATTGGGTGTTGGTACTATAAACCACATAATTTCCCAGCTTATACTCCTTGTGCAGGCTTATATCTTGGAATCACAAAAGCTGTTGAGTTCATTATCTTTAAAAAAGCTTTCTTAAGTGTTATCGTCTATTCTTTATTGAAACAAAACGTCACTGATCAATATCCGGAAGGTCTGTAGAATTTAGTCTGTATTATCGATATCAAGATAAAATACATTAAGACAATATCAAATGAAATTGGACATCCACGTTTCACACTATACTTAAGATGTCTGGATCTTAATCTTGCGATTGTTAACAATTGAAGGAAGTTTTTGCTTCTAAAATCTTAAAAACGTCTGGAAACTGTTTAGGGTTGAAGTCAGATTAAGAAGAAAAAAGTTTTCCTATCTTCAGACTAAATTTTGCACACAAAGTTTGACTCTTACCAACAAAAAGGAATTAATTAGTTATGTTATCGACACAGGTATGAAAAATGTAAATCAACACAGGTACGCAAAACGTACCCAAAGACTCAATAAATGGGTAATGTTATCGACACAGCTACGAAAAACGTACCAAATAACTCAATAAATGAGCAAAATGTGTGAAGCAAACAAACTGTTTTTTATAATATCCTTAGTGGCAAACAGAGTAACTTATCAACCACGACGTTAACAGCAACACACCGAAGAACTTGTTGCAAGGCACAAGGAAAAAGGAAGCACCTTTGAGCGTTTTTCATGTATCAAGTCCATTAAAACAGACCATCATACAATCCACTATTTAACGACAGACCCCCCTTTGCAGAGAATTCCGCCAACTATGCTGTCTTTAGACTGGTCACAGTAGCCACGTAGTTGCAGGGGGGCACGGGGGGCTGTGCCCCCCAAATGAAAATTTTGACAACAGCTTGCCCCCTCTGGCTACAGTTTTTCCAAATGATATTTTGAAAATTTGGCATATTTATAATTCCATGACCTTGTTTTGTCCAAATATATCTGTTTGTTATATATCTGTTTTCTTGTTTTAAAGCCTGCCCCCCCTGAGGTATGGTTCTTGCACGAGTATTGCCCCCCCCCCTAGCCGACACCTACAGCTACGTGGTTGGGTCAAAGATTAACCTCTTTGAGCCGTTAATACCTCCTATCAAAAACCCATCGGTAATATTACATTCTCAGCAAACTGACATACCCGACACTCGTATATCAACCACAATGACTTTTTTTATGATAAGACCAAATTGACAAGACCTATCTATGCTTGTTTTTAGAGCCTACTTGAACTAAAGCCACTACGTTTTCTCGATATCGCTAAATTTTGCAAATTTGCCCACTGACAATGACGATGAAAACTCGCTTGCCACCTTCTATCGGCCATAAACTTCTTTCCATCGACTGCTTCACATGCTGCCACTGTTTTCAGGTGATGGCATGGTTACATTTCCCAAAGCAGAAAATTAAGGAAAAATTTTACCCTAATGGCATTAGCCAGCTTCTGTTATGTGCTTCTAACTATATTTGATTTGATTTGATTTGATTTGATTTGATTTGATTTGATTTGATTTGATTTGATTTGATTTGATTTGATTTGATTTATAATCCACTTGCTCATATTTAACTTTGAAATCTGGCGGCATCTATCAAATTTTCTTTGTGAACGAGAGTAAAAAAGCCACGAATTAGTGGTGTCTCCACCGGTTTTCACCCCAGTTTTCCTAGAAGACGATTTTCTAATTTCTCGAATTCCGTTGAAAAACCTTTCGGGGGGAGGGGGGGGGATGGGCTGATGGGCTGATCAGATCGATTTTGATTTTCACACTTGCCACCGTTACGAAAAAAGCTGCTTGAGAAATTGCTTTCTTAAAGATAGAAAGAAGATAAATTACTATACTAAATTACGAAATAGACAAAAAATACTAAAAAAGACCTTTCCAAGACTCTGAAGGGCGTGGCCGAGAAAATTTGTTTTCGTCCACCCCAGTTCTTTTGAGCTGGCGACGCCACTGCCACGAATACGGCTACAAATACACGAGCAAACAGCAGCTCATGCCTATAGATACCGGCGTGACCTTTGCCTTTGGTTTGGGTCTTCTGCAACCAACAATTCGCACGGAAGTGACGTAATTCAGGTCGTGACCTGGGAAGTATATTCTGCCGTTGAGTGCTGCCAAAGATTAGGCCGAAAGAAATTGTATGATAAGGCCTCCACAAACTGCATGGAGACTTCATTCTATATATTTTAGGTACAAAACTGCCAAGAAAAATCATGGTTTTCGAAAAATAACGATGGCATGATGAACAACTGCTTTGCATTCAAAAAAGCAGAAGAGGTTGTTAAGGGGAAGGAACCTCGGGTACCCTATGACCTGGAGTTTCGGGGTTGAAGAACTGGTGTACCAAAATCAATATCTTACGAAAATACCAAAGACTTATATATATTCATGCCATTTTCCATAACTCGAATTGATACAAACATAACTCGCGTGACAATTCGCAAAATGACAAAACAAAGGCTAGGTGCATATCGTTTGCAAATAAAAGAAGATACAAATAAAATAATATAATATATATTGGCAACGGAAAAAGGTTTGGAAACGGAAAATTTATAAATAACCATTTAAACTGTTTCATTTCAGATACAATTAAGATCGCCCAGACGACAGGCAAACAACAAAACAGAGCGTTTACGGTATGAATGAATCATTCAAAGAAATAATTCACAGGTCGACCGACTGTATTTGGCAAATCACTTCTGTCGAATTCCTGATAGTATCCTTAAAAGAAATCACTGAGTGTCCGATCTAAAATACGTGTGTGAAATCTTCCGTCTGCGAGCAAGGAAGCGGATGTCAGTAACTGGCCTCATAAACTTGCAGTTAAAGTTATTGGCAATGTTTACAGACCAAACGAACGAAAATGACAGCGGGAAAGTATTGAAGACAAATACTTTTGTAATGATAAAACGAACTTACTCAAAATGCAGGCTCGATGTCTTCCTTGTTACTTCGATCGGATCAAAGAGCACATGTAACGCTGTGCAGATCCAGATTAAGTGCAAACTGTGATGATGACATCGATCGCAAAATTTTCCCAGTCATCGTTATCATGACGTTTATAGACTAATTCAGCTAGAAAAACCAGCAGATCATGCCAATAATGAAATGTCCTAACTCGATAGTGGATTTGGCTCACCGTTCTAAATCTAACAGGACACAGGTAGACAATCACGTGAATAAATGGAGCCGTAACTAAGAAATTAGCGGATAATTGACCAAGGAATCTTCGACGTCAAGGAATAATCCCTTCAATAACAATATCCTAAATAGTGATTGATGACTTAGAGCATGCCAGGTGGGTGTTCATTTTTCCGTGACGATAACAATGTGTACAATTGTGTGAACACAAAGGACGATCCCTATTTCCGGATGGGGGTTTCAAATATATATTAAACCTTAAAAGGAGCACTCCCTGGCCATGCTGTCATGCTGCTACATTAATTAAAGTTTGGGTCCTGAAGCACATGCTATTTTGTCGGGGGTAAGGATGGATGTGGTGGGATTTAGCTACAAAGTGGGAATTTCCGTAAAGACTCAGTTTCATTGAAGGCTGGTAACAGAAATGTCCATATTTAATCGACTGCTACAACTTGCTAAAATATTGGTTGAGTCGCCAGTTCTTCTTGCATTCTATGATGAATCATGCCTCACGACCTTCTATGTAGCGCATGATTTTATTTCATTCAAATCCTTACATCGAAGAGACATTTAAGAAAGAAGGGGTAACCCCCCCCTAAAAGTTCATTTAACAGGGAAAGGGCATTTTTCTAAAGGTTAGGGATGTGTTCTTGGTGCAAACCCAATACCAACATCCCTGACACCCCCGAAGAAATTGTTTCCTGTTTCGGTCTTCCGGCCCCTTACCCCAACCAAAGGCATAACAATATATCTCTGGCAGTGTACCATACTCATCTGGGTAATGCTGGAAGCATAGAGTTCTTCTCGTAGTATTGCTCAAAATGTACATTTAAAAGGGCCCTTTCCATTTAGAACATTGGAAAATCTCCTTTCAAGTAGCCTGAGATCATCAACCCCCGCCTTTACTACCCCCTCCCCCCGCCTCTTCCGCCCCGAGAGCATGATCTCGGGCAGCCTTTCCACTAGCCCGGGTTAAAACAAAAATGGATTAAAAGTCATCCGTTTCTGCGTCGCGTTCCCACTAACCAACTTGAAAAACTGACAAGTTTGAAAACGGGTCTCAGAGAGGATCAGCTTTAACCCGGGTATCTTTTGACCCACCTGCGAGTTAATGGAAACGCCGGAACCCGGATAACTTCTGACCAATGAGGTGTATAGAATACGCTAGAGGGATAACTCTGTAGGGAGGCAGTGAGGCCTATCAATTTCCGCATTGCACGGCAAGAAGTGACTCACAGTGTATGGCGTTCTTCTGACCCACTTGCAACAACAGCAACATTTAAGAATTGAGATAGCGCCAAAAATATAAAAACAAAATCCTCGATGTCGATGTTGCTTCCATTGGCCTACAACGATCAAAAATTGAAGGAATATTGATGCAAATACTGATCTCTCTTACAACTTTTCACCCCAAATACATTTTAACCCGGCTTAGTGGGAACTATCAAAAACGGATTAAAAACGGGTCGAAGAAAATTGCCGTTTCCATTGACTCACTTTAAAAACGGATAACTTTAACCCGGTTTTGTTTTAACCCAGGCTAGTGGAAATGTTGCCTCAGGCTACCCTTTAAGCAAAATTCTCTCACTTGTCCCATTGCCTCTTTTCAATTTTTAGCGTCCTTGCTCGTAAGCTTTGACGTTGTATTTTATAATTCAAGTTGATAATCTTCGATTAAATATCGGTTCTGGATTCTCATTACAATAGTTCAAGAATAATAACACGTTTTTAACGATTGAAAGAAAATGGCTGCAAGAAATTTTCTGGAATATATTTCAAGCTAAACTAAAGGGCGTAGTCGCAAAAGGTATCAGCTCGCTTTGCTCCCAGAGAGGCCTCTTCTGGTTTCTTGCCTCAGGCCTTGCGACAACTATTAAATGCGTAGCCATTTTCACTTTTAACAAGATATTACCATGATATTCAGTCAAAGTAGACAAAGATGCTTGACCTTAACGTTGTCCTTGATCTTTTTAGAAGAAGATATCCAAAAAGCAATATCATACTTTCTTAGGCAGAAACAAAGCAGTAAATTGCTAAAATTGGCTAAGCCAGTAAACGATGTATACCGTAAATCCTGCATCCAAAAATATCAAAAATGAATGAACCCCCAAGGGCTAATTCGAGGATTTACGGTACTTTAGAAGGGCCTACAAGCGAGGCACATCAAAAAATTTGCATATCAATTTTCGGCAATTTTAAACACTTCAACGAAATTTAGTTTAAAGAAGGACTACATGATTTGATTGACGGATAATAACGTTGTTTCATTCATTTTCAAAACATTTAAAGATTCAAATAAACTGTACAGGGGTTCATGAAATATGTCAACAACTTTTTTTATAGTCGTCGGCACTTGACAATTTTGGTTTCGGCCCCAGGCCATTTTGTACACTGGCCTACCATAAGTAAATTACCACAAGTTAAGTAGAGTATCGACCAGCTTATCTAATCATTATTCTGTATGTTTACAGTTGCTACATTGACGCGAATTCTTTCATCATTTTTTAATGCCACAAGTTAAAGGCAATCTGTCACGACGTTGATTGGTTATAAGAACAAAGGGATTTTTATTGTTTCCAGTCACCCTTTAATTTATCGCATTGTAAAAAATATGGCGGAGCGCTGGAATCGTGTTTGGGCTATTGTTTCAGCTATTGTTCTGGTTAACCAATCCACAACGAGACAGATTGCCTTTAACCATTACACTTGGATTAATCACACGGAAGAAATTTACTTTTCATTTGTTTATATTGATCATCATGTTAATCTTATCATCATTATCTTGATCTGCAGCGTCGTTGAATGAAATCCTTTGATACATAATTATTTGCATCAGAGAACCATGAATATTGATGTTCTTGAGGCAGCCTTGTTTTGTAGTACAGTGATACTTGATAATCCAGTCACGAGATTTTATAGTTTATAGACACTTTTCTGTAAATTATACAGACTAAAAAGCAGTTGACTAGGTGTAGCTCCTTGTAGAGCATCCACGTTTGCCTCAGACTCGTGGTCGCTAACAAAATTGCCTGCTTTAATTAGATCTACTGTATGATTTTCTGAAAGCGTGAAAATGAGGTTTCCTAGCAGCGTGTAAGGACCAAGGTGGGCCAAATGTCTCGAGCGTCTCAGCATTAATATTTTGAACTTTGACCGAATCAAAATTCTGTTTTAATTTTCTTATAGCATCTGGGAATGTCTATCGCAGAACAAATAAAAGCATAGCATGGTCCTACTTCTAAAATAGCATGGGTGCATGATGTATGATTATTTTTTTGAAACTAAACTTTTCGATGATAGGTTCCCATGGAGGAATCATTTGCTCACTCCTCGTGTTTGATAAATTGTCTCTTTCTCCGTCAATCTTATATTGTAAACAGAGTCGAATTGACTGAGGCCAGGACAGGATTGGAGGATCATTTTTATTCTGTGACCAGAACCCGCAAAAGGCCTCTTTCCGCTTTAAAATTTGTCATGTAAACATTCATCTTACATCTACTCTGTACATTTTAGTAAAACAAAGTGGGAAACACTTCGTAGCCCTTTAGGAGTGAAATTAGGAGTGGATTTAATTTCCAATTTCTTCACAATTTTTTCTTGATACACAATCTTAAAAATTAAACTCTACGCTAGGAAATATATACACCTAGTTGTGGATGGAAATAGGCCAATCAGAGGCGCGAGCGTAGAGCTTTCGATCTATGTTTTAACGTTTAATACATTAACTACGAAAAAATTTCATCGTGACAAAATTTTGGAAAAATATTTTGACGAAATTTTCTTCGACTAAATTTAAAATTGGACGAAATTTGGTCACGACGTAATTTGTTGCAGTTTTTGAGAATTCGCATAGAGAATCTGTTACATGAGGTGATAAATCAAATTTATGTATCCTTTTCAACGCCATCCTCATTTACATCGTCTTCATAATCATCTTTATCGTCGGCATCATCATCAAAATCATCATCATCATTGTCGGTTCAAACCGGCAAACTAACTTCGTTCGATTTCGATAAAAACAGTTTCAAAAGCCGTTAAACAGTTTTGTTGCCGGTTTGAAAGATTTCATATCTGTCTTTTTATACCCAACTGTACTATTTCTTTCATTCGTTCACAGAGTTCAGCGCAAATACTTTACATTTTATATCGAAAATGATAGTAATGATAATAAAAATAACTCACTTTGTTCGACAAGTAAAACGCCGATAAAGGCTTGACCAGCCAAATCTTTATCTTCTTTGCCCTGAGTATAGAAAGATCAGTCTTTGTAATTAAATGCACGCTTGTGGTAGTTCTACAGAGAAGGTGCAGAGATTAATTAACAACTGCGTCCACATGCCAATACCATGAACTCTGGTATGTTTGAGATTTCCGAGAGACCAGATTTAAATATGCATAAGGCACAGGTGAAATGCCTATCTTTGTAAACATTATAATATCAGGGTCGTCAAGGAGTGAATTCGTCGTTGAAAAGCATCTATGTTGTTTACTTTAACCTGTTTGTGTTTATTGCAATGTAAAAAGCCGCTAATGAAGCACCTAATTATCCTAAAACATTAGCACTGACCATGCTTATATTGAAATTGTGGTCAAGCAAGCAGAGACTAATCATTTCTTAGATAGATGTGAGCATTGTCTGGTATTTGTATTTGTTTCTACCTAGCATCCGAAGGTAGTTCTTAGAACACTGAGAAGCTTATGTCCTGGTCTTTCCTCTCGATGCGACCACACCCCGTGATTCCTATGCCTGGGATTACGGAGAGCTGGCGGCTTTTCTCACTCTAGGTGGAAGTTTGGTCATACCAGGGACACGAACCAGAACCACGGACCCTTGGTTATGTAGTCAGCGCCTCTAACAACTGGGTCATCCTCGCACCTAACCTTCCAATACCCAATTAATGTTTCTTGTCATGACAATATCTCTTTGAACCAAGGATTAATTCAAGATGCAGTGATGACCAATTTGTGCAGTGATGAATCGAAAATGTGCAGTGGTGAAATATTCCAAATACTACTGTTTTCAGAATAAAGACAAATGAGTACAAACTATCATCGCTTAAATAAAGCAATAAAGGTTTTCTTCTCGTTTTAGACATTGGCTACTCATACCAGTACCCTCAACATGTTATTGTTGAGACACACACCACAATCTTTGGAGTGAATACCATTTCTATCTTTTTTATACAATATATGGATCAGAATTTTTTTTGGTTTGGGTATTCATAAAGTTAGCCAGGCATAGTTTTGAAAGATTAGTAGCAGTTACAGATTTTTTTATCATATAGTTAAAGAAGACAAACCTCATATTACAATAAAGGCTATGTTTATGGATATATCTTAGACAGATTGAAATATTCAAAATGACAAGGGGGCTCCTGCACAAAATCCTGCAGAAAACAATAGCAAAAGTAGAAATTTGCCGATTTTAGGCATGAACAAGGGGGCTCAGCCCCCATGAGCCTCCTAGCTCTACACCCCTAATTAGAGATCTAGTCTCCAAAAGAAAGCCTTTTATGTAAAGAAACAGCTAGAAACAGTTGATTTGCCTTTGAAGGATCAATCAGTAATATACAAACACAGTAAATATCATTCCACTTCGTTTCCCCCATTCCCAAAGAAATATTATATTGACTCCATAGGGTGGAAGTGAAGAAAACTTCCCTGTTTTCAGGTTTGCTACTCTGTTTTCTTTTGGTCAGGTTTGATATGTTCTGATAGCATGTATATATAATCTGTGGTAGCTGTAGTTAGGCTAAATTACACTGAAAGTTTCCTTGAAAATAATGTAAAATGTCTTTGTTCCGTCATAAAGAGGTCCAGTCAAACTTAGCCACACCCATAGCCACACCCTATTTTGTCTCCGAAAACCTGCGACTTACGCTGTTTTGTGCCGTGATAAAAATTTCTTAAATTAATGCCTGCTTTGCACAGCCATGCAACTTACTTCCCCGTGATAGAAGAAATACGTTTCCGTGCATTACTTCCACTTTGATCACCCTGATTCTCGGTTAATCTACTAGCTAGGACTTTTGCTAGGAAATTTATTTTGAGATGTGAGACAATACAACTTCATGTATCACAGTACCATCATTGCCTGTAAACGATGTGACGCAGTAAGCAAAAAGCTTTCTATTTGAAAACCAACAGGTGTGGAGTTGATAAAATCCTACTTTTGACTTACAGGTGCTTCTAGTCACTATTCACTTTCTTGAATACCTTGACGCTCTAACAGAAACACCCCTAACGATAATGTCATAAACAAATTCGCCATAGACATATGCAACTAGAAGTAGTGCCATTAAACGGCGACATTAAGGCACACCTGATACATAAAATGTTTATTAAAGCATTCTTGATACATTAAATGTTTATTAAAAGTTTTATGCCAAAGTATACACAAACTTTTGGAGCCCGGGTTTGCATTCAAAAGTTTCTTAGTCAAATTCTTTCCTCCGGCACCGTGAAGAGTCAAGCTAAATTATGGACCAGGTAAACATTTTGACCAATAAAAATGTCCATATACGGTCGATAGTTACATTTCAATACCTTGTTTTATAATCAGTAACATGTAGCAGAGTAGCTTATGAAAAGCTGCAAGTACATTGGCAAGTTATGGCTTTTCCTTTTAGCTATTGTTTTTAGTCGAGTGATTTTCTGTCAGGAAATAATTTTTTGTCTGTCACCCAGACAAAAACGGCAAGCGGTTTTACATGAAGCTTGGACTCGGAAGAAACAAATGTGGGTAAATTAGTAACTATCCTTGTTTTCTTGTGAGAGCTTAACAGGAAATGATGTTATTTGCTTGGCTTGCTAAGTAAACTAAATGAAACTTCTTTGTTTAGTTTTTGAACAGGAAATACATATGAAACTGAATGCGAGCACCAAAATGGATACCTCGTTTTTGTTTCTACTCGTATTGACTCGTTAAAAATGGGTGGACATTGCTTATAAATACAAGAACACGCCTTGGGTATTAAATCACGAAGCGATGAATCATGATAGAGCAGACATATTCAACAACAACGTAAATATAAATGTCAAAGCAAAATTATTCAGATGTCAATTTTTCTAATTAGCATAGATAGTTTTGATAGCTTGACTCTATAAAGTCATAAATGACTTCAACCATATTCGGAAGCAACGTTGAATGGAGATTCAACAGAGTGACGTTATACCACAAAGAATTGGACCACATGCCATAAATCCTCTATTTGCCACTCCACCCCCTCCTATGTAATAGGGTATTGACCATTGAGAGAGCAATAGCGAGAGATAAAGTGCAAATTGTATTGAAACTGCCTAATGGTCCTTAACAGCGATTATAATATACACCAAAACGAAGAAAATCAAAGCATAATTCAGTATCTAGGTTCCAGTCCTGTTAAACCTATAAAACCCCTCAAATTGGCTCTCCCCCAGCAAATATGGTTATAAACCTCGAAAAAGCCCCAAAACATGCCAATTTTTAACCTTGCAATTTCAGAGCCCAGTTTTTAACATGCTTAATTTACTGTTAAACATGCCAATTTTTAACGTGCCCAGTTTTTAACATGCTTAATTTACTGTTTAAAATGACTTTTCACTTTCAGCGCCATTCATGGTGATCTTTCTGGGTATGTAAAAAAAGTCACAACTTCTAAAATATATTCTTGTGACGTCACACTCTAAGGGGACGCATCTTGCCCGTATTTCTTTATTTAGAAACTATCAGCGCAAGCAAGTTACGCCATACAGAGAATCAATGCCATTGGTGCAGTCGCAGTGCTTGTAATTTCTTTTCTTTCCTTAGCCACTGTTTTTGTAAACTAGAAGATCGCTGTGTTCGTGTAGACAACAAGATTGTTATGAGTCGCTACTTTGAGTTCCCCGCTTAATGTAAGGAAACTTTTAAAACAGTCTCTCCGCGAGTGCCATTATATTTAGTTGTTATGATCTATAACATTAATATTAGGAGTAATGCGGTCATGATTTAAAATACATTAAACAGTACATTTAATAAATTAGAAGATCGATCAGTTTTTACAAAAGACGGAGTATTATATAACAGGGTTTTAAATTTCTGCGAAAAAAGTTTACTATCGCAAACTGTACCTTTGCGGTTTCATTTCCAATGCCGCTGTGTTTGCCGCGTCGTATTTCTCGTTTAGCCCTAGCACCTGGAGTCATACTCAAATATTGCAATCTGGTATCATTTGCTATATTTTTAACTTCCCGTTTCGAAATTTGGAATGTCTTTAGAGCGAACAGTCAATTTAATTAACGTACTCTTTAAGCCCTAACGTACTCTAAATCTTATTTCACTAAACAGCATATCTCATATTAAATCTCATATTTAACCTCAATGCTCTTATCTTACTCAAAAACATTCCCTAATGAAAATTAAATTACGAATCTAAAGCTTTTGTTATTTCATTTCTTTGAAATCGACTGGAATCAAGAACAGTTGATGTTGAAAATAGAATTATAACAGATCTTAGAAGTCCAAGGACAATTAATATATAAAAGGTCGAAAACTTTTTCATATTTTTGTCATCCATATGACAATCTTCGTAAAAGTGTAAAAATACAATGATCCTATAGCCCTTTGCTGTTCCCATTCATTTGCAAAATTTAATCCCTAAACGAGATCATTGCTCGCATCCTAACACGTTTAGTTTACATAAAATTGTTCAGTTTACAAAGCATTGTTTAGTTTACATAGCATTGTCATCAATTTTCAACATAAGTAGAATAAGAGATGGGCAGTACTAAGCTCATTCTTAATTTAGACTTTAAATCGTTGTAAATTTGCAATGCGACTTCAATGGTACAGCAACTGCTCCTAAATATACCAAGTCCTGTATTATAAGCGAAAGTGTCCCAATGCTCGAAAGAACATTGTAACTTATGTTTAATCGAAAGTAGTTGTTGAAAATTGTTGTAGTAGTTTGTACAACAAAATAAACACCTCCATACAATCCATAGTAAGGATAGGTATAATTTGCACAATAATTGAACCTTTATAGCACAATGTTGAAAAAACATGTTTATCGCTGCAATTTTCAATAATGCCTATTCAAATATCATCGAAAAAGTTTGGAAATCAGCTTTAATATCGTCGAAAAACCAAATCTAACACCAAAAAAGGCCGACATTAAAAGAATTCTTATGAGTTCAAAAATTTCTTAAATAAGCAACGTATTTATAAGACCATATAAAACGTTAATCTAGCAATCAAGTTCAGTACATATCTTTCACTGAAAATGTACACAAATATTCCATCTTTTGGTCAGTTTTTTTGTGGAAAATTTGAATAATTTGAAATAGCTCTTAATTTATAAGCAAATTCACTAAATGAAGTAATGGTTGGTTGAAATCATCCAAGAAAACTTTGCGCCAAGGTTGTAGAAACAATCTGTCAAAGTTCTGTTTTATTTTAGTTTTAAAAACATGATACTTTTTGCTTACGGGAGGCTTTTAGCATACAGTGGCAAAGGGAATACTTTTGAAGCTTCGAATTTAGGCCACATAAACAAAAAAAGTTGTTTAATGCTAACCAATGTGCAAAGTTAGATGTGATAAGAGTTTTTGTGAGATATGACGCGTGAAGACCAAACCTTTACGAATGGATTACTATTAATTTGATATCATCTTTAACTTATTTTGTACACGAGTCAGATATTTGAACGCAGAGTGTATCATGCTGGTCTTTCAGGTTATGCGGCAAAGTTTTAAAACATCTAGAAACATTTATGACATCATAATTTTGTTGCTCTTTTGAAAGTTGATTTCTTTGACATACGTGAAGGCAGTTCGCAGGTTAACTTTGGTGAGAGTGAAGCTTATTATAATCGGCGAAAGAAACGAAACGAAACGAAACGAAACGAAACGAAACGAAACGAAACGAAGCGAAACGAAGCGAAACGAAGCGAAACGAAACGAAACGAAACAAAACGTAACGAAACGAATAGTTTTGAGTCAGATTATCTTATGAAATGAAATATATGAATAACTGTCTTAAATGCATTTAAGAGACCTTTTGCGTCTTCTTCTTTGGTGAAAAATTCAAAGGTGCTAATTGATTTGGTAACATTGATACCAACAAGCTAGGCGATAAGATTAAAACACAACAAATTTTCCCTCCACGAGCTTAGCAAAATCTTAAAACTTGTACTTCGTTGTCAAAGGTGGAAATCCTTTTATCCAATTTGGCGTCCTTCAAAGAAAGGTGCAAATACATACATTGGAAGTTCTATTAGAAATATAGCGTTATTGAAAAAAAGAGTCAGACATGTTTACTTTCTATCCTAAAAATAGTGCATTTTGTCAACAGAAAGAGGTAAAAATCACAACAGCTGCCCTTGTTCAAAATTATTTCCCGCATGTTGACAGAACTGCAACTGTAAATTTTTTTATATATACGATTGGAGCTGCCGCAATAAAACAGAAATTTCGCGAAAAAATTATTCATTTGACATTTTCAAAAGAACTAGAAGATTTTTCCCATTAATTATGAATTGGAACATATAATGTAGAACACAATCAAGAATATAACGCAATATGTATTTAAAATCCCAAATAATGTGCTGAAATCGTAAATGCTTGCTTTCTTTCCGGCAATATTTTTCACAATGTCTGCACCCTAGAGTTTTAATCTATTCCCGAGATTTTAAGCAAAAATAAGCTTTCTCTTTTTAAAACCAAACGCGTACCATTCCTTACACAACTAGGTTGGGACAAACAAAAGTACCAACAATGATGGGATTTACGAGCAAGACCACCATTCGAGGAGCATGCCATAGTTATTGTACTCGCACTATGGGCAATAAAATCATCCAACATACTTCATGGTTAGCAACTTTTGTGAAAGACTAATGGAGCTAGATGTTTAATCTGCGAAAATAAACTTCTATGACATTTATGTTAATCTCTTGGTTGCCATTTTAGAACTAGGCAGCAAATACCTCTCTTACCTATCATTCTTTAAAAGCAACTCTAGTAGATATAATAGTTGTGGTATATTCTATGATTGTCATGATATGGGCGTGGCTTTTAAGTAGCAGTGCCTTTGAAGTTCTTTTTACATTCCTACCCAGCCATAAAGGAGGTGGAGGAGGGAAGGTTTGTTGGAGGGAAGAGCTTAAGATGGTAGCTGCAACCATTCTGAATGTTCTTTGTGCAAATCATTCACCTCACAATTATGTCAACGTACATGTCTCTTGTCTAGCTTTGGAAAATTGACCAGAAATTCTTAGATAAATTTTTGGTCGCCTGGACATTGCGATAACATTTGGTTTCCTTATTGGCTTAGGAATTAATATAGATAAAAGAATGTCAACTGGAAGACAAACCTTCTTTCCCCACGTGTTTAAACTTACCCAAAGAAAAACTGTAAAACTCCTTTCGCGTTGCAAGCTTAATTTGAAATTATATTGAGGAATGGGGGATCTTGGCAAAACTGTGTCAAGATCACAAAATAAAGAACAAAAAAGAACATCCCAAATCAACCCACATTGAATCGTAAATGGACACGCAGCTGAAATACGAGCCCAAATTCCATCTATGCATCTGCTAAAAACCAACCTGAAATATTATCAAGAATACAATAGATATAACTTAACCAATTATCCTTTAAACCTTGAACTTATCACCATTCTAAGCCTGACAGATGATCTTTAGAATGATTAATTAATTTAAAAATGGTATCAGACACTAGAATTAAAGAACACTTATGCTTTGTAAGTTGATAATTGGGAAGTCGCTGTTTTTTTAGAATATATGTCTAGCCAGAAGGAAATAAATGAAAGAAAAAATTAAAAGCGATAACAACAAGAAACAATCAGCAACCAAATGGTGTGCCCCTAAAAACTTGATTTTACCGGCCCATAAAAATTCCCACCACGCCCCTGTTAAGAATCATAGCATCAGTACCGCTCAGTGCTATCGGTAATTTTCTTTAGTGTTTACTGTTTATGTGTATTGAATGAAGAATCAGTCTGCTATTACGTAATCGGTCTGTTCTTCAGTGTTGCATACCGTATAACAAAAGACACGCTTCCGTATGCGGATCAGAATGGTTCGAAGATGTCACTAAAATTTTCCGCTTGATGCAGTCGTCAGATCATCATCTAGGTTTTTATATACTTTCATTTTGAAACAAACGACCAAGGAACATAGTTGCTACTGATCACAAGAGTGATTCAGCAATTAGCCTCACTTGACCTGAGCCTGTTTATTGCAGCTTGTTTTCGTTCAAATCGACAGTGGCCGAATGATCACATTCAGCGTGAAACTCGTGTGGCAGCTTATAACCGTACTGTTCTCAACACCAGGTAGCGTGTAAAGCTCTGCCTATACGGCACCGAGCACTACATGACAAACCAGTAAACAGCAATTTTCATTTTCAAAATATGCATTTTCTCTGAATTGATATAAGATATTTGATTTCATAAATATGATTTGCGATCGTCACAAAGAATTTCTTATAAATTCATATAACAAACCGTGCAAAACAAAATTTAAGGTATATGTTTCGTAATGTGCAATATCAGAGAACAAGCTCAGACTGAAAAGACCTTACAACTAATTTCCCTTTTAATCGAGAAGTTTCATGTGTTAAAGCCCAGTCCGTTTCGTGTCATCTGTGGGCGATGTAAGGATGATCCACGACTTAACAGGCCCTATGACACCATCAACGAAAATTACACAACGGATCATCTTTATTTGGAATTCCTACAGTGCGTCCTAACATCTAAAGTCATAGTCGATTTGGAAACAAAGATCAAAGCTAATCTTTAACCCAGAGCAAACCATATATTTGTCAACAAACAAGATGTTGTTGATGGAATCTTAACGAATGTTGAACAACGTTATATGGGGGATATTTAAGCGCATTCAACATCTCACTAGGCAACATTTAAACAAATGAAAAGGGATTAAAATTCATTGAACGTTCAACAAGTCAAATTTTCAAGTGAAATCAAAATTTAGTCGAGCTATCCACAAGTGGTATGAGCAAGAATAATGCCTCATTCCACTTCGTACGTTTATGGGCTCCACTTCACCAAATGTGTAATTCGTTTCAAGGAGACTGAAATGTTCTTTGTGCCATTAGAGGCTCATTTGCTTTAAAAAGCTTCGGTACCTGCCAGATTACTTTGATGTCGACGGCTAACAATCTTTTATTCTCTTTGACCGTTAATTTGTATTGATCCACCTTTATACATATTCAACAATGATTCCAATTTGTACAAGAAAGTATTCAAGATCTACAAACGCACCTGTAAAAAACCTTATAAATGCACTCTCATCTGCACGTAGTTTGATTTAATTCATAGCCGTATAGATTCTTAAAGACAATTTTTTGAAGACAATTTTGTCTCCTCTTTAATGTCGGCAAAAATTATATTGATCAAGGTGTTGTCTCTTATGTAAATCTGAGGGCGGCAATCATTTAGTGCTAACGATCTTCTAGAGTACAGACATGGTATTCACGCATCAATTGATCAACTTTTCTCCACTTTTCCTCTACATTTTATTTATATCTGCAAAACGGTATAGCCCTGTTGACTGACAATAAGTTGCGTAAACAGATGCATAAACTTACGCCTAGATTGTGGTCAGTTGCTAGAATTTTGCGTGTTCAGCTTTAGATGTGTTTACTGAAGCAGCCTTAACGATAATTAAGGAAAGACGTTTGCCCCGTAACATGCTTGGCACCCATGCACCTAAATTGGGCATTGGTACGGAACCCCAATTTATAGTCATATTACATGTTACTTACTATCGAGCTTTTCATTTTTCATAGAATATAAAAGCTTCAGTTACGTGGGATACAGAATCCTGAATGGAAGTCAAATTTTAAGAAATACGTCATCGCAACACAATTCAAGTCGTTTATGACATGAAATTACATAAAGAAACTTTAATGATAGGCAATTTTTTGATGTGGTAGAAGGCAGAAAACAAGATGTTTTCATTCATTTTCCAAAGGGGAAAATGAATTTGTCTCCTCAATCTTTCTCTTCAACGGATACAGTAGGCGTTAAAGTAACAAAGACAGATATAAACAGTGATAGCATATTGAACGATAAATCAACATTGAATAGACCGAAAGCAACTTTACCTTAGTTATATATTGATGATTTCTTCCGACGACTGCGTGTGTCTTCACAAGCCAAATTTGCGTGCCGTAATGAGCAGTATTCTCTTCAATAATGCATATATACAGCTTGTGACGTCACAAAACCGCGTGGGTAGAAAACGATTCGTTCCTGTTTGAATGTGATATTGAGATAAGCAGTGGCGTTTTCTACCTAGAAGACGAAATAATTAGAACTTCATACAACGGCGCTTCGTATACATTTTGGTGATTCTCTAACGACACGTTGTTGAAGTATTTTGCTTTATCGCAGGCAAAAACACTTGGCCAAAGTAAAAAAAGATTTTTGCTCTGAAAATGCCTTATTTCTCAGGCGCTAACATTTGGCAACACGAATCCCATTTGTTGGTAATTCTTTCGACTTTCAAACTGAGACTTTTGATCTAATAGATTGAATATCTTTCTATACAAAAAAATCGTTATGGCTGATGTTTGAAAATAAGAAAAGATCTTAAAAGAGACAAAAATAGCTCTAAAGCAGTTTGAAGAAAAAAGATTATAAAAATTGGTTTATGTTCATAAATTCTCCTGAACAGAAACTGTTTAATAATTTAGAACATCTCCGTATATCATTCATATTTTACTGTCAATACAGTTAATATCTCTGGCAAATTAAAGAAGAAGAAAAAAAGGAGAAGCTGGAAAAAAGAGATTAAAATGGAGGATGCAGAAATTCAAGACCTTTCTATGAAGATACGTTTTTCAATACAAGCTAAATCCCGTCAAAACAAACCTTCATGTCGGTTAAGGAAATGGTTTCAGTTTTAGCAAATCTCCAACTTTGAATTGAATTAGGTAGGAAAATCCAAAGGGAATTGATAATCATTCCGACTTATTGAAAGACCGATTTTTCGGGGGCACAACCTAATGGGACTCAACTATATTTCGTAAACTCTTAGAGCATTAAAAGTTGCTAAACTATATATAAATTTAGAGCTTCAAATATTATTAAACCAAAAACTAAGAATCGGAAGGGAAATGTTTTTCTGGCAGGAATTCAAAGCAACAAACTGAATACATAGGATGACTTTGCAGTATTAGAGCATTGAAAAGTATAAACAGAGCTTTTGTAAGGAATCAAGGTAGCACCTGTCTGAACTTTTTTATCAGTTTAAAAATTCAATTTAGAGCCGATAATCCAGTCTGTCTGCCCGTATTTTTAAGATTAAGATTCTCCTTCAAAGCTACAGAAAAAGACAGACTAAATACATTAAGGTTTTTATCTTCCTTAAAGCGGAATTGGAAAGAAAATATCAGAGCTTACGGATAGGATTTCCATAATTGCGACAGAAACAAAGATTATTAAGCAGATGCGGTGAAAGATCTGTTAAAGGACACACCACTGTGACGTACACGTAACATTTTAAGATTATTCCTGATAATGGACACACCCCAATGATGGTACATACCCATGACAGATACCTGTCAGTTACGGATAATTCCAAATAACAGGCAATCCTAATAATTCTCACATCCAAACGAAGGAAAATCGCAGAAAGGACAAATTATTAGCCAAAGCTTTTCCTTCATTGTCAACACTTTTAACCCAGGCAAAGGAGACATCCAAGAACGGACAGTAATTTTGATCAGTTAAGTTCAGTTTTATTTTAAAACTACTTGGAAAATGTTCCCGAAAGCTTTTGATTCTTTTAAATTTTCAATAATATCCAAGAGAAATAAGAGCTTCCCTGGTGAAAAGTTTCAAATTTTATTGAAAAAAGAGAAACAGACGTTTACTCGTGTAAAAAATGGTATATCATTCGCTTTATTTGCTTTTTCTAGTATGGACTTGGCTTACGAAACGGTAATTGAACGAATACCACCATATTCAAGCAAATTCAATTTGGTATGTTTACAGTTGCAACGCTTGTTTAGCATTGAAAATAAAAAAGACGAAATTCTGCGTTAGCAGGTTTTGCCAGTGCAAGCATATACATGGATACAGTTTTTGTTAATAATTTAGAGCAGCCAAGCAACAAAAATTGTACGATCTTCTGAAATGAAAATAAAATGCTGTCACAATGCAGCCATGACTAAAATAGGGCTAGGACAATGAAATGGTGGAACTTTGCAAGCTGATCTTTTGATTGTTTGTCCCTGACTTGCAAGGTGCCCTATTATTTTTTGATGTGAAAAGTCTTTGGCAGGCATGTCCAAATCGCCTTCTCTGTATAGGCCACCTAGATCCTGTCTTTGCTTTTAAAATAGTACATACTAAATGTATACTGGTATTAAACGCATCGTTACTAATAGAAAAATGGCTTTGACAAAGGAAACATTCTGAAACATACTTTAGCTTTTTGTCTGACACTTTTCAAAGTATAAAACGTCAGAATGTAGATCGAATACTTTCTAGGAAATATATATACCAAGTTATGGATCGATTCGGCCAATCAGAAACAAGATCAGATGACTATAAGGGTTGCCCAATCAGCGCCGCTTGCCTATTGAAAATATCATCAACGGAGTCCTAATGTGAAAACAAACTCTGTCTATACAATAGCGGTTTTTTTCACTTTTATGTACATAGACTCTAAAACTGCAAGATGGAACGACAACTGGACCTTACGAATAGTCCCAACTATGTCACCGCTATAGATTTTGGCACAATCTGGGATTTCTAGTAAATGTTGCCCGAGAGCAGAGTTGCATGTTTCGTTGTCTTTTTAGATTTGCAAGAAATGATTGGGCAGCCTTTATTGTCATGTGATCGCATTTGTTATTGGCTTATTTTGATCCACAACATGGTATATATATTTCCTAGATTAGAGTTGTTCGTTTTATATTCTGAAGACTGTCAGAAGAAAAGCTTAAGTATGATTCAAAATGTTTGCTTTTTTCAAAGCAGTTTTTAATTTTTGTACCACCAAAAATTGTTATGTTTATATATGAAATAACAAATATAAAATAACATGTATAAAATACATAGGAAATAACAAAAGTTTAGAAAATGAAATCGCAATTTTGTAGCAACATAATGATTAGTGACCCTGGGTAGAGTGAACAATATTTTGGTGGTATGTTATTCTCGACAAGGTTTTCTCTGATAATTTTTAATTCTCATTGAATTAAAAGAAACGTTGGAAGCTCACAATCCAACATTACACTTACAATTAAACTTGTCTCATGAAAGAAATCTATAACGAAAAATTACGACTTTTTCAAAAAGAAAAAGCGAATTTCTATACAGACGCATCGAGAGTTCAAAGCTGTCTTAACTCAAAAGAGTTCTTAAGTGTGACATCATGAATAATCTGTTTTTTATAGTTTTTGAATTTTGATTACATAGTCCAAAAGGACAACATCAAAAATGTGCAAAACTTGTTAAATTTGTTAAGAATCATGCGAGATTTTTGCCAATGAAAGATTTGAAATTTATAAGTGGATAAATGTTATGCCATGCCATGAACAGAGACCAAATTTCAGAGGTTTGGTATGGAAAGAACCTGTGCTTTTGTGGACATATTGTCAGGGTAAAGTGAGGTCTCAAAGACTATACTGATCTTTCAATGATTTAGAGACATTTTCAAAGAATTTAATCAAAATTTAACAGTTTAAAATTTTCAGTTACATGATAATAATTAAGCCGTTTGACGATTATCGAATCACGTGAAGCTTTTTCGTTTGATTTCAAAGCAGGATCCATTCTATTAGCAGGTGTTGCATAAATGAAAGTACTTTCGCATCAAGACAACCTAGGGAAAAAACACTCTTTGAAATCTCGTATACTTTTATGGAAATCCTATTGTTTGATCTGAAAGTCCCTGGGAATCCTTTTGTTTTCACGAATATTTCGTACGCTATTCGCAAGAATGAACTGCCCCAGGCAACCATGAAAACCGCTACAAGCTTTTACTGAAACATCAAGTCAGTAAACTTGTGATTTAAAGCTTTTCACAAGTCAAAAGGGCCTGCGTTCATTTGTGCATCATGAAGTAACGAGGAATTTCGCTCTCAGCACCTACGTGAGCGTAGTTTGATAGGTCGAGATAACCTTAGGGAGTTAGGAAGACAAGAAAACATCACAATCAAAGTTACGAGATTATTAAGACACACTTAAATTCTAGACATTTGAGCATTTCTTTCATTACTATTCTTACTTTAAAATTGATAATATGTTACTGAAACTTCTCTGAATTCTACAAAAAAATGGACAAAACTGCAGTAGTCCAAGATGACCAAATCTTTAAAGTTAATGAACTTCCACAGGACATTCGTGACAAAGCACTGTAATACGACAACTGACAATTCCGTAATCGCTGTATTTTCAAGTATTATCTAAGTGAAGAATAAGGAGAAAACCTCAGATAAATTCTTTTAGGTATTGCTTTCATTCTTAATTTTTTTTCATAGATTTTTGCAACCTTTGAGCTGCAAGATTCGTACGAACTATGTATAATCTTTGAAAATGTTTGTAAGATTAACCATCCAGTTTGTAAAGAGGTATTATGAACCTTTAGAATATAAGCTCTTCCTGGGTGTGATTTATTAATAGATTTCATGTGACCGTTCTGAAGAAAATTTCCCGAGCAGTTTGGAATTGGTTATATTGACATTCTCCGAATTATGCTATAAAATTGTGCTGTTGGAGACAAGCAAGAGATCCATAAATACAAAACGGAATTTAGGATGTTATAATCAGGAACTTTTTGCTAGTGAATTCTTTATTATAGTCTATACAAAAATGTCACTTTTCATTAATGGTCATACGGTCACGGGGAAAATAACACCCTCGAGAAAAGGCTTTAATTTGCTTACTCAATATCTCTAGCCGCTTTGCCTCAGTTGGCATAATAAAAGCCTTTAAGTACAATTTTGTTAGTAAGAAAACTTTTGACAAAATGTTAAGATAACAGTCACTATCTTTCAATTTCAGAAGCAAAACTACACCACTCTGATATCGGTTCTGCTCCGGAGCATTCTGGAAACGTGCGGGAAAGTTCTGACAATAAAACAG